CTATTTGGAAGCAAGCGGGGCAAGGGGCCCTTCCAGATGCCACCACCGCCAACAGGCCAGGCCTCTGCCTCCTCTTCATCTGCTTCTTCCACCCACCACCACCACCACCACCACCACCACGGTCACAGCCATGGTGGCCTGGGGGTGCTGCCTGATGGGCAGTCCAAACTCCAGGCCCTGCATGCCCAGTATTGCCAAGGACCAGGCCCTGCCCCACCACCCTACCTCCCACCCCAGCAGCCCCCTCTACCCCCACCTCCTCAGCAGCCCCCACCCCTACCCCAACTGAGTTCCATTCCACCACCTCCCGCCTCAGCCCCACCTGTGGGGCCACATCGCCACTTCCATGCACATGGTCCAGTCCCAGGCCCCCAGCACTATACCTTGGGCCGGCCAGGCAGGGCTCCCAGACGAGGGGCTGGAGGACACCCTCAGTTTGCCCCACATGGTCGCCACCCCCTGCACCAGCCCACATCCCCATTGCCCCTGTACAGTCCTGCCCCTCAGCACCCTCCAGCCCACAAACAGGGCCCCAAGCACTTCATTTTCAGTCACCACCCACAGATGATGCCAGCAGCAGGGGCAGCTGGAGGCCCTGGGTCCCGGCCACCAGGAGGCTCCTACTCCCACCCCCATCACCCCCAGTCACCACTGTCACCACACTCACCCATCCCACCCCACCCCTCCTCCCCACCCCTGCCCCCACCCTCACCCCACACTCCACACTCACCCCTACCACCCACCTCACCCCATGGCCCACTGCACGCCTCTGGGCCCCCTGGCACGGCTAACCCACCCACTGCAAACCCCAAGGCCAAGCCAAGTCGGATCAGCACTGTGGTCTGATGAATGGATAGATTGAGCTGGGACCCAGGAAGGTCTGGGGAAACCATTGCAGAGGGTCCTTCTACCCTCTCTGTTTCCTCAGTTTTTCCAAAATATATATACATATAGAAATGTCCTCTATCTCCCTTCTTCCCTGCCTTGGGATAACCCTCCCCCCCCCAACCTCCACAGTACGGTCATCATGGGGTTCCGTCCAGGTTTGCCACTTAAAGCCTGGACCCAGAGCTATCTAGCTCTGGGGAGTGGTGAGGACCTTTCAGAGATCATCATCTCTTTTTCCTCTCTTCTTCTTTCCCCTCTTTCTCTGGAGGTCTGGCTGGGGGTGTTCAGACCTCCAGGCCAGTATGAGCTTCCTTTCAGTTCTGGCTAGTAGAAAAGAATGAGCTTCCAGAGCTGTAGAGATGAAGGTTTCCCCAGGGCTCCTGTGGGCACATGGGGCTAGGAAAGAGCTCTGCAGAGTTGTGGCCAAACCTCAGCAAGTTTGGCACTCTCTCTGACCTCAGGGCCTGCCCACACACCTCCCAGTGTCTTTCTGCCTGCTGGAGGACACAGATAGCCAATGCACTGGTGGGTGGGACCCTGCTTATGCTGGCCCCAAGATGGAGCAGTGCTTTTTCTCTGGAGCCCTGTCTCTAGTAGGCCCTAGCCCAGCCCTCTTCAGCTTCAGGACCTTGCCTCCCCTTGCAACATTCTTATACTGATTCACATCCAGAAAGGTTTTGGGGGGCTCAGGTCTTGGATGAGAAGGGCACTGCCCTCCCTCACCCATATTGCATGCCCCCCATTCCCTTAACCTACCCCACCTACAACTGAGACAATGCACTTTACAAATACTGCCCACATACCCTTCGCTGGGGCAGGTATATGATGCCCATATACCCAGCATCAGCCATGGGGAGGGAGGCTCCCAGAGGGCCATCATGAGCCCAAGATGTCCTTCTTGAGGCAGAAATTGAAGCCATCAGATGGGGAGCTGGGAGCCAGGATGCTTGAGTCCTTCTGTTTGTCAAAATCTCTGCTGCCTCTCCAGCCCTGTTTATTTATTATAAATATATTTTTTACAAGCCCAGCTCCTCTTCTTGCCCTGCATATTCAGCCCCTTTCTCAGCTCCTGCCTCCCTCTCCCCTCTCCACCGTGGGCTGCAGTACTGACAGACAGACTTGGCTGTATGAAGGGCCAGGGACCCCGGGGCCTGGGGGCAAGGGAGGGTGGCAGTGGGAAGGGCTGTATGGAAAGGAGCCGGGGTTCAGGCATTGTCTTTTTTCCTCCTTGTATATAAGAATGTATATTTGATGCCTCATAAAAGACCTTGTGCTCACCTCCTGCCTCTGCTTCCTACTTATGCCCCCTTCCCCCACTGTGGAGCCCCAAAAGAAAGAGGCCTTAGCCCAGGGAGGGAGAAATTCAGGCAACTGGGTGGGCAAGGTATTTTGGTTGGGTGGGAGGTTGAGAAGAGGGATTTTTTTTCCCCCTATCTCATTTCATAGTCTGTATGACATAGTAGGAGAGTATGAACTTTGGAGTTGATACAGTTCAAATCCTGGGTTTTCCACTCCTTAGGCATGTGAACTTGGGAAAATTAACCTCTCTGAGTCTCAATTTCCTCAATTTAAAACTGGGGATGATAAACCTTTGCCACATGGAGTTTTGATGGTTCCATGAAGTAATGAAAGTCAAATAGCCTGCATGGAGTAGGCATTCAATAAGTTAGTTCCTTTCTCTTCCTTCCACAGGTTTGATACTTCCTTCCACTCTTGGGTCTTCTATCCTCACCCTTCCTGTGGCTGGCCTGGCTTTGCCCTGGAGTCCCCCTCCACAACCACAGGCCACATCTGTCCTTGAGGGGAGGAAGGGTGGTTTGGCCCAGGAAGGCACAGAGCTAGATACATTATAAGGGTACAACATGTTAGATAACAAATAGCTGAACTCTTTAGTTTATAGAGGAGGAGAAAAGCCCAGAGAAAGGAAGAGTCTTTCCTAAGGTCACACAGCAAGTCAGAAGATAAGAGTTTTCTGACTTTTAGCCCAGGTCCCTTTCCAGCTCCCTCCCCCCTAAATTGCCTCCCTATGAAATGAACTTGTTTCTAGCACTACTCTGTTTCAGAAGGGATGAGGCAGAGCAATGGCTCTAGCTTAGGGTCATTGGGGTTCCCAGAAGCAGCAGTTAGTAAACATTTTTGTTGCCTTCCCAGAATCTGGAGTGGCCTCTAAGACAGAATGGTTTGAATGGCCCCATTCTTTAGCAGCTTTGACCAGTGTCTTTGATTTCTTCCTCTTGTGCACATTCAAAGGCAGCCCAGGAGGACATCTAGCAAAAACAGCATCTGGAGCCATCTATGCATTTGATGCCTCCTCAAAGACTAGAACTTAGGTCTAGAGAGCTCTGAATATTGAGTCCAATCAATATTTTTTATTTGTTTGTTCTCTTCTTCCCTTTCAACCTCAGCTTGATGCTGGATTCATCTTCCCAAAGGTCAGCTTTCCCCACTTAAATCCTGGCTCAGTAACTTGACTGTGTTGCCTTTGAGCCTTTGACAAGTCACCTAGCCCTTCAGAGCCTGGTCTTCCACCTACAAAATGTACCCACCCCCTGCTAAACACACAGTAAGCCATTCTTGGCCACATATAAAAATGAACGCAAACTCCTTGTGACATTGGAGGCTCTCTGTAGTGTGTCTCCAGCCTCTCTCTGTACTCCTCTCTTCCTCACTTACACTTTGGCCAACAACTCACTGTTTCCTGAAAATGCCTGCATTTTTCAACCTCAGTATTATTACTTGTGCTTTTCCCCCTGCCAGACATACTTCCCCCAATAGCCCTAATAAATATTTTCCCACTCTTGCAAGATGGGCTTGAAGGACCCACCCTTTACAAAATATGCCCTTCATCACATTCTTCGATATCCCTCATGTTGTTATAGGTCTATCTTCCCTATCAGGCCACAAGTGCCTTGAGAGTGACACTGCTCTGAATTATCTCTGTCTAGAGCATTGCCCAGCACAGTGCCTGGCATATCACAGATGTCACTAAAATTCTGTTGGTTGAATGAATGAATAGTTTATTCTAAGCTAAATCTTAAGGTATCTTTGCATTTGTTGATTTATTGGTTGATCCAACCTGTATACCAGCTTTGGGGACCTGCTGGTAGCTCCTCATGCTTCCTTCATCTCCTTCCTAAGTTCTAATCCTACCCTCTTCATTGCAGTCTCAGCACTGGGTTGTCCCTGCCTTATCCTCTTCCTCTCCACAGAGGCCTATCATCCACACTGTGCAGGAGTAGTTCATCATCTCACCTTCCCATTTAAGGACCTGAGGACAAACCAATTGGCTATCCTCATATCAAAGGTTCTACTGCCAATCTCTTCAGGGATGTGATTGGGCAGGACAACACATACCAAGGGACAAAGATCCTAGAATCTCATAGAGTTCTTATCTTTGTTCTAGATCAGTGCTGTCCAATAGATCTTTCTGGAAATTGAAATGCTCTATATCTGTGTTGTTCAATAAAGCAGCCACTAGTCATATGTGGCTACTGAGCATTTAAAATGTAGCTACTGCAGCTGAGGAACTGAATTTTTAAATTTCATTTAATTTAAATTTAAATAGCCACATGTGGGTAGGGGCTACCATATTGGACAGTACAGGACTAGACCTTCAGAAGTGTACAGCATGGTGGAGATAATGTCAATACAATAATAAGTGCAGGCCCAGAAGGAAGTAGAGCAGAAAAGAAAGGGAAAACCCAACTTTGGATGGGGGATTGGGGAAGGTTTTCTGGAACTACCCCTTGAGCTGAGGGTTGAAGGGTGAGTAGGAATTAGGTTGGTAAAGAAGGGCATTTGCCAGAGGAGAAGCATATGCAAAGGCCTGGAGGTGTGGGAGTATACAAGGTGTTGGTGAAATAATGAAAAAGGAATGGGAGAGGGCAGCTCAGGCAGTGGGCTCAGCATACACAAAGCAGTCTTTCTCTACATATCCCCATTCCTCTGTTGCCAACAGATTTCTGTTGCCAGCCTTAGTAGGAGCTAAAGTAAGACTAGGTGACACATACAGTTTTTCTAATGTAAAACTACTGTTTTTTCCCTTTGTAATTAATGAGTAGCTTGTGGAGAGATGTATTGAGACCATGTAAATATCCTGTAACTCCTCAAATTTTCACCTGCTAGTTTTAGCATTCACTTGATGGTTCTTGCCTCAAAGTATCATTATGGCTGGGGTTGCCAAATGGTCACTTTCTAATGCCATTATTCTTTCTACATGTATTTAGCTAGCTTTCTACTGTAAGAGAGAGCTTCCCCTTCTCCCACATTCATTTATTTATATCACCATGGACTCATTTAAAAAAGAAAAAAGCTCACTGCCGTTAAGTGGGATCTGACTCACAGTGACCCCTCCTTGGGTTTCCGAGGTGGTATCACTATGGAAGCAGATTGCCCAACCTTCCTTCTGAAGAGGGGCTGGTGGGTTTGAACCACCAGCCTTCTGGTTAGCAGTCAAATGCCTTAGGCACTATGCCTCCAGAGCTCCCATGGAGTCATGGTTATCTATTTTATTCAGTGGATAATAATACACTGTACCTACTCCTCTTTTATCAACTATCTCGTTATCTGACATTTTGCATTTATGACAATAGTAAAAAAATCTATCCAACTATTTTGCATATTAACAATGTACATCTGGCAGTAGCAAACACTGAGGTGCAAGGTGAGAGTAACACGGCTGTGATGGTTAAGGTTATGTGTCAACTTGGCTGGGTTGGAACTCAACTCAGTGGTTTAGAAGTTATGTAATGATGTATTCATCCTCCATTTTTATATAATGCCAATTTTTGCATAATGACCTGGTCTTTGGAAACTAACCATGTTGATAAGTGAGGAGTGTGTACTACTATTTTTCATTTTGATGTTCAGAATGTTCCAGTTGTGGCTATCAAGAGGCCCTTTAAGCTGGTTCCTGTGCCCTTTTGACACGTTTCCATCTTTCTCTGAGTACTTCCTTGCTCCAGGCCCATCTTATACTTTCCCTGCCCCAGTCTGCAATCAGTCACTTATTTCTCCAAGGAGCCTTGGTTTGTTTTTTTCTTTTAGTAAAGAGAATGGCATTTAGGAACCAACATTTAGGCACTAGGTGACATAGCTATATTTTAAGAGTTTGATTTTTTTTTATTTGGAAAAAGTTTTAGCATACACTGATGATCATCTACTTTAAGGAAGAGTTTTTAAACCTTTCTATCATTTTATTTATTTATATTAGTGTGGACTTATGGATTTTTATTTTATTTGATGAGTTATAATCCACTACTATCATAATTTTGAATCATCACTATTTTGAACATACCATTTTATTGTTATGTATATGTATTAAGCACATAATAGACATCTATATTTCTCTATTTCTCTCAATATATGAAAACATACAGACACCTTGAAGAGGCTCTTTTATTGTCCAGGCTAGAAATAATAAATAGCTCACCTGAGAAATAGGAGATGATGTGCAGAAGAGGGGATGGATTGCAGAGCTATTTGGGAGTTAGAATTAACAGTTCGTATCCACTTCAGAGCTGGAAGAGAACCTATTTTACAAATGAAAAAAGTGAAGCATAAAGTCACTCTCAACCAGTTCATGCAGAGGACATAAATGGGGTGAGTGTGGTTGAGAGCCCAACCAAGTATTTCAATTATTCCTCTGCACCAACTCATGCCAGGCCCTGTCCCAGGTGGATAGATGAAGCCAATCCAACCCTTGGGGCCAGGGTGAGCTCCCTGATGTTCCCCAATTCTTAACCCTGCAGTGCCCAGATTAAGGTTGGTCCCGACACACACCCGACACACACACACACACACACACACAAAGTTGCCATTGAGTCGATTCCAACTCAGGGTGAATCCATGTGTTTCAGAGTAGAACTGCACTCCATAGAGTTTTCAAGGCTGTGACCTTTGGAAAGCAGATCACCAAGCCTTTCTTCCAAGTTGACTCTAGGTAGGTTCAAACTGCCAACCTTTCTGCTAGCAGCCAAGTGCTTAATCATTTGCCACTCAGAAACTCCTTAGAAGGACCTAATGCTTGGGAAAGGGACCCATTACCTGAACACCTTATTGCATGGGAAGCATCATGCTGAGACTTTTATAGTCAGAACTATATGGCAGTCAAACAACTTGGGTTTGAATTTTGGCTCTGCCACTTATGAGCAATGTACTTGGGTAAGTTTATACTTCTCTGGGCATCCTTCTCCTCAACTGTAAAACAAGGGTACTTCATAGCCCCTACCCTTGATGAATGGAAGCCATCGTTAGTTCCAATCCTTGTAACAACCCTGTGAGGAAGGGATTATTTAGGTTTGTTTTATAAATGAGAAAATCAAGGCTCAGAGAGGTGAGCTTTCAGTGGGTAAATGTCAGCTCCAAGAAAGCCTGGACTATGTCTGTCTTGGTTACCATTATATTCCCAGTGCCCAGATAAATGCCTGGTGCATGGTAGGAATTTAATAAATGTGAATGAATTTGATCTGACTGGCTTCAAAGACTCTATACAATTTCCATTTGTCCTTCCAGGACTGGAGGTAGGAGGGGGGCCCTCTGTCTGGGCTAAGGACCTTAGAGATAGCTGTGGGAAGCCTAGGCTGAGCTGAGACCTAAACTCTGTCTCCTGATTCATGCTTTTTGACCTTCACTGAGCTGCCTCCAGATGGAAGGGCCAAGTTTCTTTCAGTCTGTTGTTGTTGTTGTTATGTGCCATCAAGTCAGACACAACTCATAGCGACCCCTCCTTGGGTTTCCGAGGCAGTATCACTACAGAAGTAGATTGCCCCACCTTCCTTCTGAGGAGTCGCTGGTGGGTTTGAACTGCCAGCCTTCATATTCTCACTTTTTTTCATTCTCCTTATCCTTCTTCTGCCCAGTTCTGTTCCTGATGAGAGCAAGCAACAGGAAGAGCATTTGACCAGGAGTCGGCAACTTCCTATGTAACACTGAGCAAATTACTTTATGTTTTTAGGACTTAGTTCCTCATCTACAGAATGAGTAAACTGACCCACTTCTTTCTAAAGACTGTTGCAAAGATCAAGGGAAATAATTGATATGAAAAAGCTATGTGGGCTATTAGAAGCTTACACATGTGAGAAGCTTGCTGTTAGCAGCATTACCTTGCCTGGTATTCTGTTTCTCCAAACAGACAGTTGTTCATTTTGGTCAATCACTTTGTTTCTGGTGGAGAGAGGCTGAAGTTTTTCCCTGATACCTAGACAGCTAGACACTATTTGTATTACTTGGGACAAGTTTCCTCAACAGTAAAGTGGTGATAAAGATCCTGAACATCTAAGGTAATTCCGATGCTAGAAAACATGAAATCCCTAGGCACAATGCCTGGCACATAATAGGTTCTTAATGAGTTTTGACATATTTGTTGTTGAATCCCAGAAATAAAAAGAACAGCTACCAGATATTGGGAATCCTACTATACAACAAACCTCAGAGGTATTACAATCTTCCCCATATTAGTTTCAGAAGTTGAGACTTGCACAAGGTCACATAACTAGAAAATGGCAGAGTTGGTGGGACTAGAAGGCAGGCCTGTCTGACTCCAGGATGTGAGCTCTTACTTGTGTGCCCTGCTCCCTCAGATGGGATGTCCTTACTTCAGAACTGAAATGGGCAGACTGTCCCTAATTGGCTGGATGAAGAAATGACACCTACCTCCTTCAAACACATTCACCTTATCATGCACAGGAAATTTTTGCAAAGAGCATACATGATTTTCAGTCAATATACATTAAAAAACTAAAACCAAACTCACTGCCATCAAATTGATTCTGATTCATAGTGAGCGCCCCCCCACACACACTGGGTTTCTGAGGTGGTAAATCTTTACAGAAATAGATTGCCCCATCTTCCTTCTGCAGAGCAGCTGGTGGGTTTTAACCACCAACCTTCTGGTTAGCAGCCAAATGCCTTAGGCACTGTGCCACAAGAGCGCCTTAATATATATTAAACCAAAAACCAAGCCCACTGCCGTTGAGTTGATTCTGACTCATAGCGACCCCTATTGGGTTTCTGAGGTGGTAAATCTTTACAGAAGTAGATTGCCCAGTCTTGCTACCACAGAGTGGCTGGTGGGTTTGAAACACCAACCTTCTGGTTAGCAGTCAGATGCCTTAGGCACTGTGCTACCAGAGCTCTTTAATATATATTAAAGCTGTTCAAAAATATACACTCACTCACTTGTTCTTTTGTTCACTCAACATTCATTTACTGCTTACCATGCCAGGTGCTGAGGCTGTATAAGGCCACATGGTCCCTGCCCTTAAGGAGCTCAGTCTAGTGGAGGAACACTAAATATTTAATCAATGTATAACAAGTATTCTAATATGTATACAGTACGTGTTCCAACTATATGCAGTAGGCCCACAACTGATGAATAATATAGATAATCCTCAAAGGTAGTGGATGCCTGATGTGGACAAAATACTGATTTGATATGCATTCAAAACAGTTGCAATAAACCTATTCAGAAATTACTCAAAGAACATGCACACAATAGAAGTAAATGTACACATAGTAGCAACTCATATGCATATGATATACACAATATAGACAGTCAATGTACAAGTTTGATAAGTACACTGTAGGCTCACAATTGCATAAACAGTAGGGTGTTTCACATAAGATGCACTGGTTAAAAAAAAAAAAAAAAACTCAGTTGCTGTGATTATGACTCATGGTGATTTCATGTTTGTCAGAGTAGACCTGCACTCCACAGGGTTTTCAATGGCTGCTTTTTTTTGGAAGTAGATTGTCAGGGCTTTCTTCCAAAGTGCCTCTGGGTAGACTCGAACCTCCAACCTTACAATTAGCAGCTGAATGCTTTAACCATTTGCACCAGGTACTCCAGGCACTGGTATGCAATGGATAAATAAACTGCTTCTCAATATCCCATAGTTAAAATACATATACAGTTAAGTTATTTTGTTGGAGTACATGGCACAAACGTGCACACAGTAAAAGTACATTCATAACAGTTGACGGTATTCATTGAAATGCTAATTGGCAGTGACTCTTTCAGCTAAAAACCCATCTCTGAGAGGCCCTCTACGTGACCTTGGACCAAATAAATAACTTCCTTTTTCTCCTTGGGGCCCATGATTCCAAAACTATCTACAACCCTTGGTGTAGTGAGGAACCTCCTCCTTTCCTTCTTTTGGGATTTCCAAGCCTCATAAGTGTCAGGGCCACCAGAAGGGGGTCTCTTGCAATCAGGGTACCCAAGACCGACCTCCTTAGCCATATCAGAAAGACCTGGGAAAACAGAGGGAGGACGTTGGGGCGGGGAATGCTCCAGAGCTGAGGTCCACAAGAGGGTGCCAGTTAGCCGACCATCCACCGACACCAGCTCCTCTTCCGGGCTGTCTCCACAACGCGCATGCGCAACACTGGCCTTTAAACGTGCACCGCCGACCCATCCGGAAAAAAGAGGGTAGACTCATTACAATTTTGCTCCTCCGCCGCTGTGGTGGACTACTTTCTCTCGGTCGGGGCGGTACTTTTGAGTTCCTTCGTCCACTTAGGGAACCTATGCCAGCAGATTCAGCTCGTTCCCCAAGGGATGAAGGCTTTCTAGGTTTTGTCTGATGCAAACTATGCGAGGCTAGGAGGGACACATTGCGGAGGGATCCGGTTTGTTGTGGTGGTGGTGGGGAGGGGAGACGCTGACAAACTAAGATGGCTGCCGCGGCGATGAAGGCCGTGGCGTTTGGGAGGTAACTGGCAGTGAAGGCTGCAGTAATTGGGAGGTAGCAGCACAGTTTGGAAGGAAAGGAGACGAAGAGCCTGTAGCAGTAGCGGCAGCCTGAGACTCTCAGAGCACGGCAGCCACACGCCCCCTAGGCCCTCGGCGGACGGCGGCCGCCCTGCTTAAGGCCTAGTCTCCGAGCAGTGCCTCGGCCTCCGACAACGTTGGCGCCATGAGTCTTTAAGGGTGGTCCGAGTCCTCCTGATCCTTGGCCCAGACCTAGGGCCCACCATGGAGCCAGGGTCCGACGACTTCCTACCACCGCCGGAGTGCCCGGTGTTCGAGCCCAGCTGGGCCGAGTTCCGAGACCCACTTGGCTACATCGCGAAAATTAGGCCCATCGCCGAGAAGTCGGGCATTTGCAAGATCCGCCCACCCGCGGTAAGGCCCAGGGCCGGTGGTCGCTGGCGGCTGGCGGGGGATGGGGAGGAACTAGGGTAGCCCAAGGTATGGGGGAACGGGGGTGCTGGGACTGTTGTGGATGCTGCGCTGGTCGGGGAAAGAATACTGGGACCATGGGCCGTCTCGTGGTGTGAGGTCCACAGTTACCTGGATCACAGGCACACACTCTCAACCCCAGTCTTCACATTCATTTCAAGTAGAGTTCAAGACAGCGATGTCTAGTGGGTGAGGGAGAGTTCACAGAGGCATTCCGCACATCTCTTAGATACCCCCAATCGCCCAAGTCAGGGCTGCACTAAATATATAAGGCCATTTTTCCATCTACTATTAACACTTTTTCTTAAGGACAGTAGCGTGATACACTTATGAAGGGAGATAGACTTGAGTTCAGAACTCTGCAGTTTACCAGCTGTGTGACCTTGGGCAAATAATGTAATCTCTCTGAGCGTGTGAAATGAGTTTTATATTCTTTGTATGATTAGTGGGAGGATTCGATTAAACTAAGGTGTGTGTGTGTGTGTGTGTGTGTGTAGTAGGCTATAGATAAGTGGTAATTATTGCGACTGTAAAGGTGTTTAATGTAGTCACTGATTTGCCCCTATGTGAGCTGACTCACATTTACTCAGACTGCCCCTGCCAGACCAGTCCATCTGTGATAATATCCTAACCTAGTGGACCAGAGTCAGGAAGTTGATTTTACAGCACTCTCCCCTGAGATAGGTTCAGGGAATTATCTCCTTTCCTAGTCAGGGTTGAAGGCATTGTCAGGGCCTCCCCTGTAGGCCCTCCCAGACATATCACCTCCCAGACTTGACTTCTACAGAAAGGCTGGGACCAACAGCTTGGGGGGTGGGATAGGAGTCCTTGGATGATTTCTACTTTGCTTTGTCCCAGGATATACGAGATCCCAGAGGATAGGGCATTCCTAGGCTCCCAGAGATAGAATGGAACTATGGAAGTTGGTGCCCTTGGAACACCTGATTCCCAGAGGTTAGAAACAAAGAATGTAACTTTCCTCCTAGGCCTGACTTAAGGCCAGGAGAAGTTCCCCAAGGGCTAGGACCAGCCGACACCGTGCTGGCAGGGAGGACAAATGATATATGGTGTTGAGTGACCACTTGGGGTTCCAAGGGCAGGAATTGATTTGGCTGGAGCAGGGTGTTTTTAAGTCGGTATCTCCTGACTAGAATGGGATGGGGTGCCTCACTCCCACCTGAGGAGGGCACCTCAGGCCTCCTTTTCTAACTTGGTGCTTAGCCACAGATGCAGGCTAGTTTTAAATGGATCCTTTGGGAGGTGTTGGGTAAGCCAATTTCTTCCTTGTTGGAGCCTGGCCACAGACATTTGAGGTATCCTTGCCCTTGGTAAGGGAGTGGCAATGAGTAGTGAGAGGTCAGGAAGGCTAGCAGAAGTGAGAGGCTGGAGTCTTGGGCGGCCTCAAAGAGGCACTCTGAAGTGTTTGGGCAGGCCTGTAGGAAGGAGGCACATCTGACAGGAGGTAGTTGAGTCTTGACATTCCTTTTTTCTATATTGGACTTAGCTAGGCAGGCTGACCTTGTGCTGGTGGTGTTACCCTGCCTTGGGGGACCAGGAAGGGGAAAAGCAACATGTCCCAGATCTGTATGTGTGTGGCCAGCCAGGGCATGTCCTTTGTTAAGCTTCTCTTTTCTACCCCACCTCAGCAGTGTGCTTCTTCCAATCCAGGAGACTTGAGTCTCTGGTTTTCTTCTTTTTTTTCCTCTTCTCTGGGGGTGCTCCTCTAGGCAGGTAGACCTTAGTCTGGCTGGAATTTGAAATTCACTGAAGTGGTACTTACTTGGGTCTAGAGTGGGAGCCTGTGGAAGAAGAGTACCTGGGAATTGGAAGTTTGCCTGTGGAAGGGAGGTTTGGAATCTGACTTGCTGGGCAGGTGACTGCTATGCTTGGGGAAAGTAAGTGGGAGGAGAGTATTGGTACCTTGGAATGGGCTCAGGACTCATATCCCATCCCCATGCTGATTGGTCCTTGTACTCTGCATCGGGTAGCTAACTTTTTTATTGCAATATCCTGGTAATACTGAATATTTAATAGACAGCTGTGTGGGATCAAGGAGAGAGTGAAGGGGCTTGTAGGTCCCAGGCTGAAAGATTGCTGAATCTTCCCTAGCTATCTATTGCACCCACAGCTTTTGTCCTAGAAATCCTAGTTCTGCCCCTTCCTGTCATGAGTTGTTTGATGTGCTTATTCTTGTCTAGAACTTGATTCATCAGGAAAGAAGGGTGCCTGGAGTTTTGGGTTTGAGCACCTTTTTACCTGGGTTGCCTACCCTAAATGATGTGCTGTGCTCTGATGGAAGGCAAGAGGGTGTGGAACTCTTTTGGGAGATTGTTTGGTTTGAGCCATACCATTTTAGCCTACATACTTTCTGTTGTTGTTGTTTCTGTTTCACTGCGCCAGGTGTTTTCTGCCTGCTTCGGGTTGGGGGCAGAGTATATGTGCATGTAAGTGTGAGTTTTCTGGCCCTTTTTCTAAAAATGTATACAGAAGAGGATAACAGTTTTTTCTTCTGTTTTACTGTTGTCTTTCTGCCCTATATAAGTATGTTTGTGTGTGTGTATATATGTATATGATATACTTATATGGTCACTGGTAACCTGGTGTAGTGCAAAGAACCTTGGACTGGTAGTTAGAAGACATGGGTCTATTAGTAATTCAGCATGTGATTTTAGAGAAATCACCTTTCTTCTTTGGGCCCTACTTTCCTCATTTGTCTACATTCCTCATTGGTCTACGTTACTCTAGGTTCTTTCCTCTACTCCATCAGGAGCTCTGGGGAGGAGAGGACCCCATGGAAGGTTTGGAGGAGGGTTGGGGAGAGGGCTCTCCACAGCCACCTTTGGGCAGGAGAGAACAAGGTCCAATTTGTCAGAATAGAGTCTTCCCCACTTTCATTAACTAACCCTGACTCCCCCCAAAAAAAATCCTCCCATTCTTTGCCACCACAGCAGGCTTCCCAGCATTACCCACCCCCACCCCACCCCCAGGCTTTCTCCCCTGCCTCTTCCTGAATGTGGCAGGTATATGAGAGAGAACCCACAGGAAGCCTTTCAGACCCGGTAAGTGATGTAGATTCTTTCTCCCTGTTCCTTGCTCTCCCTACAGTGTCTACCTCAGGCCCTTTAAACTGAGAGAACACACATTAAAGTCCCAAACCTTCAAATCCTGCCAGAATTGGAACTGAGCTACCCTGCATAGTACTAAGTGGTAGGATCAGCCTTAAATGTCAACTCTTGTTGATGCCTTTGAAAACCAGTTTATACTCCATTATCAGTCCTGTGAGGAAACCAGGGTTAGAGTTCATATTCCTACCTTACAGATGAGAAACAACATCAGAAAGGTAAAATCCTATAGCTAGTAGTACATAGAGCTAGAACAGGAACCCAAGACTCCAGATCCTGTATGCTTTCTAGTACTCCTAGATTGAGTCTTATGGCACATGCTAAGGGATAAAGGGTTAATATGAGTATAGGGAATGTTTGGGGTTCACTGTTTGAGGCCTCATCTCTGTATCTTGAAATCCTAGCATTGCACTTTTGGGAGGGATTCAGGAGAAATTTTCCAGGGTGTGTGCTTTGGATGTTAACTGGAGGGGCTGCTGCGCCCAGTTGTCAGTTCTGTGTGGTGGGTTGGACTTTTTGCCAGATTAAAGGGTCTGGGGTGACTAGAGGTCTGGGAAGGTGAGAATGGGATGTTGAGCAGCTTTTGGTGCCCTATGGTCTTGCACTACGCTGGAAAAACCCAAGCCCCTTTCCCCTCACTACCCTTTCAGGACTGGCAGCCACCCTTTGCTGTAGAAGTGGACAACTTCAGGTTTACCCCCCGAATCCAGAGGCTGAATGAACTAGAGGTGAGAAGACTAGCAGCTGATGGCGGGGTGGGGAGAATGAATACCTGAACTCTAATCCCCACTTCCCTCATGCCCTCCTTGGCTAAGATGCTTTACCTAACTAAACCTTTATTGTCTTTTTTATGAAATTGAATCTCTGTAGTGTGCCCAGGGCATGAAGGAAGCTTCAGAGCTCTGAATATTACCGAGAGCAGCAACATTTAGTTTTTCTAAACAAAGGCTTGCTGTTTCTGAAGCTCCCTTGTCAACTACCTGGGTCAAAACCAAAGGGAAGTAACCGTGCTGACTGAGACCCTTTCTTGTTAGGTCAGCTGAATGTATCCAATGAATCCATAATCTTGTGCTTTCTGCTTTCATTCCATATTGTTTGTTAAGATGAGAGGTGAGGTAGGTGGGTGGGAACAATATAAGAAATGGTCTTTGTGGAGGCTAGAGTAGTTAAAAAGTTGGGCAGGATGTCAGGCATGTAGGGTTTTGCCCTCTCCCTTTTGTTCCGTATAGGCAGTCTAGGCCTTTTCCATGAATAGGTGGGGTTCTCCACTGAGATTTTAAGAATGCTCTGGGGTAATGAGAATGGATGCCCCAAAGCCAGTTCCAGATAAGGTTCTGGAGTTTTCAGTGGAAGATGTAGGTTACAAGAATGCTACTACCTCTTCCCCAATTAATAATTATGTATCCACAAGCCTTGGTAGAAGATGTAGGTTACAAGAATGCTACTACCTCTTCCCCAATTAATAATTATGTATCCACAAGCCTTGGTAGAAGATGTAGGTTACAAGAATGCTACTACCTCTTCCCCAATTAATAATTATGTATCCACAAGCCTTGGTAGAAGATGTAGGTTACAAGAATGCTACTACCTCTTCCCCAATTAATAATTATGTATCCACAAGCCTTAGTAGATGTCCTGGGGGGTACATGTTGGAGTGGGGGTTAGAATGAAGCCCAACTGTGTCCATGACCTGAAAGTTTCCTTGTCTTCTAGACCAGAGTTTTTCAACTCTTTTGTTGTTGTTATGTGCTGCCGAGTCAGACCTGACTCATAGCAACCCCTTCTTGGGTTTCTGAGGCAGTATCACTATGGAAGTAGATTGCCCCATCTTCCTTCTGAGGAGTGGCTGGTGGGTTTGAACCGCCAGCCTTCTGGTTAGTAGTCAAGTGCCATAGGCACTAGGCTACCAGAGCTCTCAAGTTAATATTGTTGTTGTTGTTGTTATGTGCTGCCGAGTCAGACCTGACTCATAGCAACCCCTTCTTGGGTTTCTGAGGCAGTATCACTATGGAAGTAGATTGCCCCATCTTCCTTCTGAGGAGTGGCTGGTGGGTTTGAACCGCCAGCCTTCTGGTTAGTAGTCAAGTGCCATAGGCACTAGGCTACCAGAGCTCTCAACTCTGGGCCAGATAATTCTTTGTTGTAAGGAGCTGTCCTATGCATTGTTGGATGTTTATCAGTATCCCCAGTTTCTGTCTGTTAGATGCTAGAATCACCCCCTCTGAGTTATGACAACTAAAGTTGTCACCAGGCATTGCCAAATGTCCCTTGGAGGGCAAAATTGCCCCGCCCCACATTGAGAACCACTGTTCTAGACTCAGTCTAGATGCTGTTTTGGTCAGGCCAAAAGTCATCTCTGGTAGGGGGTACAAGTTCCTTAGAGAAATACATCTGTAGGGCAAAGTATAGCCTAACACAGAGCAGGGGCAGGATTTCTAGAGGGAATGCCCATTGCCATTAGGTTGATTTTGACTCAGGACTATAGGACAGAGTAGAACTGCCCTGTAGGGCTTCCAAGGCTGTGAATCTTTACAGAAGCAGGCTGCTTCATCTTTCTCCTGTGGAGTGGGTGGTAGGTTCAAACTGCTGACCTTTTGGTTAGCAGCCAAATATCTTAACCACTGTACCACCAGAGGGATGTTGTCGTTGTTGTTATCATGTGCCATGGAGTCAGACCCGACTCATAGCGATCCCTCTTTGGGTTTCCGAGGCAGTATCACTACGAAAGTAGATTGCCCCATCTTCCTTCCGAGGAGTGGCTGGGGGGTTTGAACCGCCAGCCTTCTGGTTAGCAGTCTAGTGCCTTAGGCACTATGCTACCAGAGCTCCCAACCAGAGGGATAGTACTGGTTAATGAGGAGGAAGAGCAGGGGTGGGGTGAAGGCCAGAAAGTTGAGGTAGAGGAAGTAAGATTTCTGGATCCTTATGGATGCTCATAGCCAAGGAGCTATATAGGTCATATTCATAAATAGATCTTAGTTTTTCTCATTTATGACATAGAAAGGACTGTTCCTCATAGGACCAGGGCAAGATAATGAATAGTAGAAACTATCTAGTTTTCCCTAGAACCAGACCAAGGTGAGGAGATGATAGGCTTGGGGCCTTTGGGAGCCCTTTTTGGGCCACTAAGATTTCAGGGAAGCATGGTACATGCCTTGTTCCTAGGATCTTTGACTCACATTGGGTCCTGGGGTGGCCAGGTGCCAGTGCTGCTTTTGTGCACTATCTCTTAGTCCTTTAGGCCAACCTGTCTAGAGCATGCATTCTTCAGCCACCATGGACTGGGTTTCATGGTACATAAAAAGAGATTAATGTGTTCTTCTGGAGCCTTCATTGTCTAAAATATGCCTAGAGCTTAGAATTCTGAAGTTTCCAGAGGATCTTCACTGTTCCTCTCATTAAGTCTACCTCTCTGGGGTAAGTGGACTGGGCAGTTGTTTTATTCTCCTGGTATAATCAGAAAATATAAGAATCCAGAGTGTGGAACTGATTGCTCAAGGCTATACAGCAAATTAATAGCAGAGGAAAATCCAAAATTGAAGTTACTCAGTGCCCAGATCTCCCAGTACTTCCTGTGTGACGTAACTACTCTGAGCTGCTGTTTCCTCATCGGTAAAAGAGATGATAATACTTATACAACCCTATCACGAAAATTGAGAGAGAATGTATATAAAGCTTTGGAGGTTGTGCTCTCCTCTGTTTTCAGACCTCAGACTTTATTGAGTAGAAGGTGCCAGAGGTAAGAGAGTAGGTGGGGGTAAGCATTGCCTAGAGCCTGGGATCTGGTTTGTTGGGAGAGGCCCTGGGTCATGTAGGTGGGCTGTACCATTTCTCTTCCCCTGAGATTGGGCCAGAGATAAGAGTCAGATCCTGGGGAGGAAGCTAGCCTCTTTGAGCCATTTCTTCCCCAGGCCCAGACGAGAGTGAAACTGAACTACTTGGACCAGATTGCCAAATTCTGGGAAATCCAGGGCTCCTCCTTAAAGATTCCCAATGTAGAACGGCGGATCTTGGACCTCTACAGCCTCAGCAAAGTAAGAACAGGTTTTTCTCAATGGCCCCCCACATACACATATACACAAATAGTCTTGGTATTCTGGAAGGCCCCCCTTGATTTGGATATTGGGTCGCTGGGCTATAGTAGAAGGGGCATAGCTTAGTAGCACACAAGCTATCATCAGAACTTCTTGGTGTCTCTCGGTGACTCTGGGTGGTGGTGGTTGGGAGGAGGGGGAAGTAGCTCTCAGTGCTGTGAGGAGTAGAGTTGTCTTCATTGCCTTTCCTACAGGCCTACTCCCTGTAGGCCTATACACACAACACATCCATGTTCCTTCTGCTTGTCCTTTCAGATTGTGGTGGAGGAAGGTGGTTATGAAGCCATCTGCAAGGACCGTCGATGGGCCCGGGTGGCCCAGCGCCTCAACTACCCACCAGGGAAGAACATTGGCTCCCTGCTACGCTCCCACTATGAGCGCATTGTTTATCCCTATGAGATGTACCAGTCTGGAGCCAACCTTGTGGTAAGGACACCAGACTGGGGTGGAGGGAGGCTTTACCCCCGGATACAAATTTCTGCAGTTACTCTTAATGTAACTGGTTCAGTGGACTAGAGACCTGGGAGCTAGACTTTATCCTTTCCTAATGGTACTTACAATCTTTCCACACTGCTCAGGGTCAGAGGACCTAGAGTTACGTGGTTTTTATGGCCAGCCTACTATCCATTATGAGACAAGGCCTTAAATGATAGAGACTTCAGAAAAGAAGGAGATGTTTTGGGCTGGAGAGGTCTGGGAAGACATGGATCTGGTTTGCTTGGGGAGATAGTTGTGGGAGGACTTGTTTAGAAGGAACAGTATATGCAAAGGCACTGAGAAGAATTCCCAAGGTGTATGCTGATGTTAAAAAGTAGTTGAGCAGAGGCTCTTGGGCCAGGTGAGTGGAACCACAACTTTGGTTACCACTGGATTAGGGTAAAAAGGAAGCCCTTGCTGTTGGGGCCTTCCTGACCCTTACCCCTCATCTTTCTCCAGCAGTGCAACACACGTCCATTTGATAATGAGGAGAAGGACAAGGAATACAAACCCCATAGCATCCCTCTTCGACAGTCTGTGCAGCCTTCCAAGTTTAACAGTTATGGCCGGAGGGCCAAGAGACTGCAGCCTGATGTAAGTACTTCCCTTCTATCTTAGGGCTTTGGAGGTGGAGTGAGTTTCCTCCTTTCTGGCCAAGGCTGTGTCGCCTGTTCCACTATTCCTTTTGTCAGTTCTCTTAGTTATTCTGAGCATTAGTATGCCTCTCTACCTTTACTCTTGCCCTTTCTGCCACTCTCAGCTAAACATCTGAGCAGGCTCTTGATCTGTTAGTACAGTATCTATTGTATCCTTCTTGCCTGTCATATTCCTTTCTTGACTTTGCTCATAGGAGTAAAACTCTTCTTTCTCCTGATGCCTATATCTTACCTCCTGGCAGAGGCTTATATGCCAGCCATTCTTCTAGGTACTGATGATACAACAAAGGACAGGACAGACACTATCCCTGAACTCATTGAAGCATGGAATTTAGCAGATTAGTCACTGCCATTTACTGAATGTTTATTGTATGACTAACACTGTTAGATTTTTTTTATGTATGTTATCTCTAGTCCCCCTGTAACTGTATAAGAGAACAGTTAATGTTCTCAATTTCCAGTTGAGAAAAACTAAGATCTGTTTTAATTCCTTTTCAAGAGAGGGCTAAAGAGGGAGCTCACTTACCCTAGTCTCCAAAAAGCAGCTCTGAATTCTTGCCCTGAGCTGCCTATGCCTTAGCCCCTGGCATGAGGCATGAGCCCAAGTGATATGTAGTCTGAACTTTTGTTGTTTTATGATGGGGCAGTCTGCCCCAGATAGCAGTCTCAATACAGTGCCTTCTTTCTTCCCAGCCGGAACCCACAGAGGAAGATATTGAAAAGAATCCAGAGCTGAAGAAGCTACAGATCTATGGGGCAGGTCCTAAGATGATGGGCCTGGGCCTTATGGCCAAGGATAAGACTCTGCGAAAGAAAGGTGAGGCTTAACAGACTGAGGCAGCATGAAGGTTGAGCCTGGGGAGCAGAGGCAAGGTACTAACTGTCTCAGACATGTACTTTAGAGCTGCTTTTTTCTTCCAGATAAGGAAGGGCCTGAATGTCCCCCCACTGTGGTGGTAAAGGAGGAGTCAGGTGGGGACATAAAGGTGGAGTCAGCCTCACCCAAGACCTTCCTGGAAAGCAAGGAGGAGCTGAGTCACAGCCCAGAACCCTGTACCAAGATGACCATGAGGCTGCGGAGGAACCACAGCAATGCCCAGTTTGTAAGGACCCAGCCCTGACTTTCTAATGCTCTGCTTGTCATCCCTTCAACAAGCTTTCCCCCGTCATGGCACTGGACCAGGTTGCATTAAGCAGAAAAGTGGGCTGTTGGGCCTTGCCCTCATGTATCTCACTTAATTGGGGAAACAAGGCCAACTCACATGGAACAAAGAATAAGAAAGGGTGATCGAGTGCTGTCAACATGAAGTGCTGGAAGGGTCCAGAGGAGACTCATTCTCCATTGCTTCAGGATAAAGGCTAAGTTCCTCATTACCATGCATGATCCAGTCCCTGCTGACCTCGCCTCATTCCCCAGCACTGCCCACCTCACTCCTCTGCTATAGGCACACTGAACGACTTATAGGTATGTTTATTTTTTCCTCTGAGACACTCCGTGCTCTTTCATTCCCCCATGCTTTGCACATGCTTTTTCTTCTACTTTGAAGACTTTCCGTCTGCCCCTCTGCCCCATTGTCAAACTAAAGTTTGCCTTCAGATTTCAGCCAGTTTCAAGTGTTAACATTTTTCAATAAAGTCTTTTATCAAGGCTATCCCTACTTACCTCCAGCTGATTTGAGTGCTTCCTTCTCTGGGCTCCTGTAGTATCCCTTGTGAGGTACCATTGGCAGTTTTCATGCTGTGGTTTTAATTTTTATAAATATATATCTCCGGAGTTCTGTATCCTCTTGGAAGGCAGATGCCAGGTCTTAAATATCTCTGTGACTGTAGACTCGAATGTAGTACTGAACACATAGATGTTCAGTAAGTGTTTATTGAATGAATAATTGTGTGATAAAGAGCCTACTCTCACAGCTCTGCAGTTAAACTCCAAACCTAGTATGACTAGCCTGTCTAAGGGCCATGAATGATCCAGCTAGTAAGCACAGTGGGTTTGTAATGGAGAGCTCTGTGGGCTGGGGTACTGTCTGGAGGGGCCTGATGTTCAAAAGCTGGACAGGGTTTAGGTTGATGAACTTTTGCTTCCCTCCCTTGGTAGATTGAGTCATATGTATGCCGGATGTGTTCCCGAGGGGATGAAGATGACAAACTCTTGCTGTGTGATGGCTGTGATGACAACTACCACATCTTTTGCTTGCTGCCTCCTCTACCTGAGATCCCCAAGGGTGTCTGGCGGTGCCCAAAGTGTGTCATGGCGGTAAGCCTTTCCCAGCCCCAGTCCACATCTGTCTCATAGGGTATCCATAATCCTTCATCTTGCTTTGTTGAGAGCCACTTCCTAGCTCAGTCACGGTCTTATGTTTTGAGTACCTGGGATGAGGCTAGGCTGGCCAGACCTTTGGAAGAGAGGGGAGGAGGAGACTAAGCCTTTGCTTTTGTCCTCTAGATGCTCCCAGACCACCTGGGGAGGCAAGATTCATGATTAAACAGATTGTATTCAATGACATACAAGCATGTTAAATTGTATGTTAGAAACTCAGTGTAGAAGTTCAGAGGAAAGGAAAATGATTAAGGGCAATAATCAGAGAAGATGTCAGGCATGAGTTTTGAAGGACAGATAATAAAAAATTGTGCTTTTGATTGCTACATTTTTCTGTTTTGTTTTTTAGAAAGTTTAGAAAACAGAATAATTACTTATCATCCTATCACTTATTACTAATAGCCTGGTATATTTTCTTCTCATCTTTTTGCTGTTGCATATGTATGACTACCTGTAATAAGTTTGGGATCTTACATGTTTTCATTTGTTATTTCACTATATTATTACATTTATTCACAAGTATGATTTTTTTCTTTTAGGGTGTATATGAAAGTCCATCATATGGATATAATATTTATTTAGTTTTTCTCTTATGTGATATTTGGATTGGTTGGAAATGATTCAGACTTTACCTAGTGAGCCCTGATGGCACAGTGGTTAAATACTTGGCTGCTTAACTGAAATGTTGGTGGTTTGAACCCACTAGTGGCTCTACAGGAGAAAAGACCTGGCGATCTGCTCCTGTAAAGATTTCAGCCAAGGAAACCCTATGGGGCAATTCTATTCTGTCATATGGGGTTACTCTGAGTCAGAGTCAAGCCCATGCCACCTGACAATACAGCAACAGACTTTAACCAGAAGAGGTAGGAAGGCATTCCAAACTGGGAATGGAGGACTAGCAGGAGCAAAGATACACAAGGGAGAATATACCTACTCTGGGTTGGGGCAGTGAAGAGAGCAGTTGATGCAGCACTGAGTTCTAAGAGACTAGAGAAGTTTGGCAGGGATGTTTCATGAGTGGTCTACCTTCATCCAAATTCTAGATGCTTATCTTCCACCTTTGCGTCTGGGTTTTTGGACCTAGAAACTATCTTAAGGACTCAGCTATGATCATAGAGACCGAGTGTACACATGCACATGTAAACACAGATGAGCATAGAGGTCAGAACAGTAGAAATTCTGGTAGGGAGGAGTTTGGATACAAACAATATAATGGAAAAGAAAAAATGCCACCTTTCCTTGGTTCTCTTCTCTAGTGGTTGTGGGCTGATGGACCAGATTGACATTTATTTTTCAGAAATGAGCAGATTGTGTGTCTTATTCTGGGGTACACACAATTCTTATCTAAAACTGTGAACAAAGAGTGAGGTAGTTCTACATTCTGTCTTCTGAGACAATTTAAAAGAACAGTGTAGGGTTTGACAGTGTAGAATCTGTTGCCTTAGTTCCCATCCTCCAAGGTATTAAAATATTCAGTACCATTTTCCCAGGTCTGTAGTTCTGATCTGGGCATGGAAATGTTTCCCTGAGCAACCTATATGAACTCACATTTTAGCTAGAGAGAAAAAGTGGTGATAGAAGAACGTAGAATAGCGTATTTAAGCAAGAGTCCATGGTTTAGATAGTAAAATCCTAAAGGAAGGAATCATGGACTGTAGTGATGAGGGAAGGATTGCTGGAGGCTGTGGGACTGGAGTTGGGATTTGAAGTATCGGTGAAAGAAAGTGGAAGAGGATGTTTCAATAGGGAGGAACTGTGTGAGCAAAAGCATGGTAGAAATGCATGTGGGGAATAAACTGATTTAACTGAAGTGATAGGAGAAAAAGGTAGAGCTATAAATTGAAGTCTGCCCTCAGGAACCTAGTACAGACCCTAGGGAACTGTATAATAGCCTAATGTTGTTATGTGCCATCGAGTCAGACCCGACTCATAGCGACCTCTCCTTGGGTTTCCAAGGCAGTATCACTATGGAAGTAGGTTGCCCCATCTTCCTTCTGAGGAGTGGCTGGTGGGTTTGAACTGCCAGCCTTCTGGTTAGCAGTTAAGTGCCTTAGGCACTATGCTACCAGAGCTCCCTGGTATATTTTCAGGATCTCCTTCCCTGATCCCTGCTCCATATTCCAGCTCCATTGTTGAGGATTCTCCACTTCTTCCTCTGCCTTGGTGACATGTTCTCCTTTGAGTTTCAGGAGTGTAAGCGCCCCCCTGAAGCCTTTGGCTTTGAGCAGGCTACCCGGGAATATACTCTTCAGAGCTTTGGCGAGATGGCTGACTCCTTTAAAGCTGACTACTTCAACATGCCCGTGCACGTAGGTGATGGAGGGCTGGGATAGTACTGGGGCTAGGGTTGTAGGTGTTGGTGCCTCATGGTCTCAGCCCTCTTGGGACAATGAGGCCAGGATATGATGGTCCATGGTTATCTGCTACTCCTGTTTCCCCAGATGGTGCCCACAGAACTTGTGGAGAAAGAATTCTGGCGGCTGGTGAATAGCATCGAGGAAGATGTGACTGTTGAGTATGGAGCTGACATCCATTCCAAAGAATTTGGCAGTGGTTTCCCTGTCAGTGACAGTAAGCGGAACCTAACTCCTGAGGAGGAGGTGAGTGGTCAGCTGAGTGTGCTTAGGCAACTCATTTAATATCTGAAAGACTCAGTGTTGATGTAATATGAGGATAATTAGGCCTGCCTTACATGATTGCTATGAGATATGAAATAACGCAAAGAACATAGCCTAGTACTTGGTATGTGCAAACATGAGATTGATTCTTTCACCTCTCTGAGCCTATTTCCTTGTCTGTAAAATGGGGATAGTATCCACCTTGCAAATTGGTTAAAAGAATTAGATGAGAAAGGTATATGAAGTGCCTGGCAGAGTGCCTGGCTCACTCAATAAGAAATGTCCAGGGACTGGGCTTACATTTGCAGGAAAAAATGAGGAACCAGATCTACTTCAAAATCCTACTGCTGTTGAGTAAATTCCAACTCAGAGATCCTGTAGGACAGAGTAGAACTGCCCCACAGGGTTTTCAAGGCGGTAATCTTTACGGAAGCAGACTGCCTCATCTTTCTCTGTCAGAGCAGCTGTTGGGTTCGAACCTCCAACCTTTTGGTTAGCAGCCAAGTGCTTAACTACTGTGCTGTCAGGCCTCCTCCTTCCTCATGGAAAAAGGTGCATTTTGGTTTAGAGAAGGGTTTTACTTTTTTTTTTTTTTTTTTTTTTTTTTCCTGATGGCACTAGATGGATCAGGAGGGAGTCAGAGAGCTGCTCCATTACTGTTGTTTGTTTATTTACTACTTATAATTTAATATATTTTATTTTTTTTGTTGAGAATATGCACAACAGATTATATACCAATTTGTTTCTACATGTACATTTCGCTGACATTCGTTACCTTCCTTGAGTTGTGCAACCATGCTCATCTGCTTCTTCTGAGTTTTTCCTCCATTAACGTAAACTCACTACCTCCTAAGGTTCCTGTCTAATCTTTTGCATTGCAGAGGAGGGGTTCTTAACTTGTAGATATTTTGATGGTAAGTATATCTGTAACTTCTCTGAAATTGAAGATAAAATTTGGTGTGTGTGTACTTTTGGGGAGAGAAAACTTGGGAGTATTTTTTAGGTGCTTCAAAAAGAGCTGTGATCTCAAAATTAAGGTTCCCTAGGCTAGAGCAAATAACTTAGTTTATCTAATATCTTAGTTCCCTTAGTATAATTATCATCCCCTTTCTACACATACCTGACCTGACAGGAGTATGCTGTCAGTGGTTGGAACCTGAATGTGATGCCGGTGTTGGAGCAGTCCGTACTGTGCCACATCAATGCAGATATCTCAGGCATGAAGGTGCCCTGGCTCTATGTGGGCATGGTCTTCTCAGCATTTTGTTGGCATATTGAGGATCATTGGAGTTACTCCATTAACTACCTCCACTGGTAAGTAGGGCCTTAAGGAGCCAGGGAGGCAGTTAGGGCAGGCTTCCTGCATGACCGTGGGTGTGACCACTCTATGTGTCCCCTTTTGCTTGGGCAGGGGTGAGCCAAAGACCTGGTATGGGGTACCCTCGCTTGCAGCTGAACATTTGGAAGAGGTGATGAAGAAGCTGACACCTGAGCTGTTTGATAGCCAGCCTGACCTCTTGCACCAACTTGTCACCCTCATGAATCCTAACACCCTCATGTCCCATGGTGTGCCGGTGAGTGCCCAGGAAACAGGGACAAGGGGTAGTGTATTAGTTTCCTAGGGCTGTTGTAACAAATACCACAAATTGAGTGGTTTATAAGAACAGAAATTTATTGCCTCAGTTCTGGAGGCTAGAAAGTCAGAATTTGGGGTGTCATCAGGGCCATGTTCTCTGAAAGCTCTCAGGGAGGATACTTTCTTATTTCTCCCAGCTTCTGGTAGCCCCAGGCGTTCCTTGACTTGCAGCTACAGCAGTCTCTGCCTCTATTGTCACATGGTGTTCTTATCTTTGTGTATCTGTTGGTGACTCTTCTCTTTTTTGTAAGGACACCACTCCTTGGATAGGAGCTCTGGTAGCGTAGTGGCTAAGGCACTTTACTGCTAACCAGAAGGCTGGCTGTTCAAACCCACCAGCCACTCCTCGGAAGATGGGGCAATCTACTTCCATAGTGATACTGCCTCGGAAACCCAAGGAGGAGTCGCTATGGGTCGGGTCCTACTCCATGGATGGCACATAACAACAACAACAACACTCCTTGGATTAGGATCCACCTTACTCCAATATGACCTTATGTTAACTGATAACATTTTCAGAGACCTCATTTCTAAACAGGGTCACATTCACAGGTACCAGGGTTTAGAACTTCAACATACGTTTTTTAGGGGATAAAATTCAATCCATAACAGATAGGAATAATTTAGTGCTGTCTTTTGAGTTGGTGGTAGTTGTGATCTGGAATTGTGCCCCTTTCTCATTCTGTATTAGTTGGGCTATGTTTTTGACCATTCTAATAAGCCTGTTGCCATCAAGTTGATTTTTAACTCATGGTGACATGTATTACAGAGCATTAACTGCCCATAGTGTTTTCTTGGTTGTGATCATTATGGAAGGAAATCACCAAGCCTTTCTTACTCAGTGCCACTGGATGGCTTGAGCTACCAATCTTTAGGTTACTAGTTGAGTACAAACTATTTAAACTGCCGACCTTCTGGTTAGCAGTCAAGTGCTTTAGGCACTATGCTACCAGAGCTCCCTCATTAACCATCAGGGAAATGCAAATTAAAAGCACAAGAAGATATTCCTATACACTCATGAGAGTGGCTTAAAAAAAAAAGGAGTGACAACATGAAGGGCTGGAGATGATCTAGAGAAATTGGATTACTAATATAAGTTGCTAATGGGAACGTAAAATAGGATAGCCACTTTGGAAAAATTTGTAGGAGTAGTAATAGTATGGTCTTCATCTCTGTTTCAAGTCTTACTCTGTACTACAGGCAGTCTGTCTCCAGGTTACCAGTGAGATCAGTTCCTAAGTGTATCTTTAAGTCAAGTTGTAGCTAAGTCAGAACAGGTGCATTTGGTTCTTATTTAGCCTTTAGTGTAAGAAAAGGCTCAAAACCTTTTCATTGATTTAAAAGCTGCATGTGCAGCAAATGAAGGTGATTGTAATGAAGAATGTGTTGCTGTAGAGGTTGGTTCAGACGTTTCAGAGTGCGAATTTACATAACGGGCAGTACGAGTTGTCTGTAGGTCGGAATTTTGTAACCTGGGGATTACATGTACTTTATTCCCATCTACCTCCTCTGGCCTTGGCCATCCTGCCACTTATTCTAGTGCATGGAATATGATAAGCAATCAGTAAATATTGAATTACTGTGTGAAATAGCCCTGGCATCTATACAGTAGGGCTTTGACTAAGGGCAGTGATTTTCCCAAGTTTCATCTTCCCTTTACATTGTTCTGATGTATTACACACTCTTATCAGTAACATTTTTTATTACACATTTTTGTGATGTTTAACCAAGGTTGGAGATATCCAGGAAATGGACAGGAAGAGGCATCCTGCAGTAGTTCGGGCTTCCTCCTCCACTCAGAAGGGGGCTATCCTTTTCTCTCTTTCTTTTACCTATGTAATAATTATGGACTTGAGATGTTGAGATTATCAATGGCCTTTCCACTTCTGCTTTACAATTTTAGTCTGACCTTTCTTCAGACTCCTCTTTTCTTGACCCATATAATGCCAAGAATAGTTGAAAGAATAGAAAAGGAATCTCTTTTTTTTTTTTTTTTAATTGTGCTTTAGGTGCAAGTTTACAGAGCAGAGTTTGTTTTACATTCAACCTTTTGTGTACATTTAGTTTCATTCCCTATTTGCCATCCCCAGTCCTAACCCAGTCACCTCCCCTCCCTGCCCAGTAAACCCACCCCCATGCCCCTCATAGTTATGCACTCCTGTGTGTCCTACATTTCCTCCGTGTGACTGTTGCCCCTCTGGTGCCCGGTGGTCGATCGCTCCAAGGGATGCATCTCCATACAGTATGTGGATGCATCACCCTAGGTTGAGTGGTCTGCGTGTACATCTTGTTTACTATTGGGCTGAGAGCCAGCCCCTGGAAATGAGTTTTATTCCAGGCCCAGAATGTATCCCAGGGCCATAGTATTGGGGGTCTCACCAGGCTCTATCCGACCAGTAATTCTGGTCATTATTGTGCTTTTGGATTTTGTTCCATGTTTTTCCTCCCACTCTATCCAGGATCTCCAGTTGTGATCCTTTCCTGAGTGGTTGGCATTGGTAGCCAGGCACCATCTAGTTCTTCTGGTCTCGAGGTTCATCATGTCCTAGGGCTGATTGCTTCCAAATGCCCTTGGTTTTTTGTACTCTTCTTTGCTTCTGACGATAGAAGACCATTAGCTGCATCTTGAAAGCTTTTAAGACTCCAGTTGCTACTCACCAGTGGAGGATGAGGAACAAGATTTTTATGTATTTTGTTGTGCCAATTGAATCTGCTGTCCCCCAGTACTATGGTTCTGAGTTGGTAGATCCATTTAATTTCTCTCCCACAGTGTCTGGCTGTCTGTGAGAGATTGCTGTGTCTGTCTTCTCTTGTTTCTGTAAGGATTGCAGGTATTTTGTTTCACTGGTATCTGTGCAAGATTAGCCTCAGCTGAATCTATCCTTGGTCTAGAGTATAATCCTGTTCACTGACCCCCCCATCTGATCTTCTCAGATGATTATGTGTTTACCTGTAGCTTGGTGTTTGGTGTTAATGGTAATGCAGTATTGTGGATATACTGCTTGGTATTAGCGTCTGTCGTCTATATCTTATGTGCACAATTTGGTGTCCTTCCTTTTCCTAATGTTATTATGGTGGTCACAAACTCTTTCTGTACCATCTTTCCCCTACCCATGTCAGCATGTGGCCCCCAACTAGCCCAAAATTAATCCCCCCCCTTCACTCCCCACCCCAACCAAAAAACCAAACACACTGGCGTCGAGTTGATCCCAACTCATAGCGATCCCTCCTTGGGTTTCCGAGGTGGTATCACTACAGAAGTAGATTGCCCACCCTTCCTTCCAAGGAGTGGCTGGTGGGTTTAAACCTTCAACTTTCTGGTTAGCAGTCAAGTGCTTTAGGCACTACACTACCAGAGCTCCTCTCCCCACCCTAGTAACCTACAAAGTGAGTTCCCTTTCTTAAGCCAACACTTCTTTGCCTTTTTACAGTAATGGGCTCATACAGTATTTGTCCTTCTGCAATTGACTTACTTCATTCAGCATAATGTCCTCCAGGCTCACCCACATTGTGAGATGATTTATGTATCCTTCATTGTTCTTTAATGTAGCATAATATTCTATTGTGTGAATGTACCATAATTTGGTTATCCATTCATCCATTGATGGGCACTTAAGTTTCCATCTCTTTGCTATAGTGTATTGTGCTGCGGTGAACATAGGTGTGCATGTTTCTGTTTGTGCCCTGCCTCTCACATCTAGAAAAGGAATCTCTTAAGGATTTGGGCCCTAAGTTGGTCGTGGAGCTGTTCAAGTCTTACCTTTTATTTTAAAAAAAAAGTTTATCACATTTTTAAACATGTGCTGCTTGTTTCCATTTCCACATCATTTCTCCCACTCAGCAGCTCTCCCTCACCAGCTCTCTGGCCAGCTGCTGCTTTACCTCCCTGTCCAGACCCTTGCATCTGGTAGTTCCTAGCATCTCCAGGCTCTTTGCCTTGGCAGTATCCCCCCAATTCAAGGCATCTGTGATTTCTGTGTTCTCATGCTGGCATGTTGCAGTTTAGCCAGCTGGAACTCCTTCAGAGCTATTTTTAGCCTCCTCTCTCAAGCTTCCTTTGGGAGAAGGACATTTCTTTTTATAGATACATAATATATTATTTTTGTTAAAAAAGAAATATGACCTCTTTCCAAAAAATGGAAAATAGAAAAGTCATCCCTATTCCCCTACCCTAAACATTTTGTTAGGTTTCCCTATTGCTTTTTTCTGTAAATTTTGACAGCACGGTAATCAGTGTATGAATTTTATAATCTGTTTTGTAAGTTTCTTAGTCTCAAACTACACTGTCCAGTTTGGTAGCCACTAGCCACATGTAGCTATCAAGCACTTGAAATGTGACTAAGTCCCAGCTGAAATCTAATATAGTTTAGGTTTAAAGATAGTACAAAACAGAGGATGTAAAATATCCATTAATAATTTTGTATACCAGTTACACATTGAAATGATAATATTGTAAATATATAGAGTTAATTATAGTATTGAAATTAATTTCACCTGTTTGTTTTTACCTTTTAATATGGCTCCTGGAACATTTTAAATTACATAGGTGGCTGGCATTATATTTATATTGGGCAGTGCTGATCTAGAGTGATTTTTACTTCATTACTATGTAATATTTATAACCATCCTTTCTTTAAAGCAACTTTACTGCATTATAAGGGAGCTCTGGTGGCATAGTGCCTAAGGCATCTGCCTGCTAACCAGAAGGCTGGCGGTTCAAATCCACTAGCCACTCCTCTGAAGGCATATTGGGCAATCTACTTCCATAGAGATACCACCTCAGAAACCTAAGGAGGGGTCGCTCTGAGTCAGGATTGACTCAACAGCAGTAACTTTGACTGACTTTACTGCATTATAATTTACACCTTATAAAATGCACCCATTTTAAGTGTACAGTTCAGTGAATTTCAGAGTTCTTTGTACTACCAACACCACAGTCCAGTTTAATTTGCATCACCCCAGAAAAGTACCTTGTGCCTTGTAGTCATTCCCTAGTCTAACCTCAACCCCTGGCAACTACTGATTTTCTTTATGTCTATAAATTTGCTTTTTCTGGACATTTCATATCAGTCAAATCATGTAATATGGTCTTTGTGTCTGGCTTATCTCACTTTATTGTTAGCTGCTGTCGAGTTGGCCCCTGGCTCATGGTCACTCCATTCACAGTGGGATTGGACCATTGTGATGTGTAGGGTTTTCGTTGTATGATTTTCAGAAGTAGATCACCAGGCTGTTCTTCCTAGTCTGAATAGAAGCTCCACTGAATCCTGTTCAGCATCATAGCAACACATAAACCTCCATTGACAGACAGAGATGGTGGCTGTGCTTAAAAGGCATTGGCCGGGAATCAATCCCAAGTCTTCTGCATGGAAGGCAAGAATTCTACCACTGAACCAATGCTATTACCATATAGGTAATAATAACAGCTTCTAAAATCACACTAATTATTTCATTTAAAAACAAACAAAACTACAATCTTCAATTCTATTCTAATATCAGGATGTTGATATCTGTTCATAAAGGAGTTCCAATCACTTGAGCTTTGTCCACTTTAGCATACATCAGTATTTATTTCCTTTTTATGGCTGAATAATAGTCCATTATATGGATATCATATTTGGTTCATCTGTTTACCAGTTGATGGACAATTTGGGTGTTTTTTTTTCCTTTCGACTATTCGTAATTGTCATTTCTAACAGCTGCATATTGTGAGGTGAGCTTTTCTAAACATACACATAGAGAACTGTAAAGTAAAATTGCTGAAATGAGGGGACCAGTTAAGTCACAGAGTCAGGAATATTAAGTTCTACTTCCGGTTTTATCTGAGATTCTCTGGGATTCTGTTCTCACGTCTATAAGTTTTTACGTCTATAAAATTAAGTAAGGCTGAGACTAGATCATTCCGTAATATTTCTAGAGCTACTTCTGTATGTAAGGCCTCTGGTCAGCACTCTGAAGGTAAATAAACTAGTCCTTGCCTTTAGTGTATGCATAGTGGAGTGGAAGACAGAGATAATAAAGTATTAGAGGTGCTACAAAAGAAAAATAGACTGGGTCATTTAGGAAGTGATGGTCAGGAAAAGGTTTATAGAGGAAGAATAAGAGTTTGCCTGTCAGGGTTAGGGATTCAAGTGAAGAGCTTTCAGGAGAGGCTGATTTTCAGATTTTAGAAAAAAATTCTGGTGGTTGATAATGGAAGCTGATGGAATAATATAGGCAAGAAATGCTTATATTACTTCTAATTGTAGGGATAGGTTTGATGAAAAGAAAGTATTGGGGATGGGAATTGATGGATGACTCGAATAAATGTGGAGATAACATTCATGAGTGGGAAGATTCCATATTACTAGGATGTTAATTCTGTCCAAACCAATCTAAAATCCAAGCAGAGGAATCATAAGGTTGAAGGGCATAAACATTTTAGGCTCTTTATATAGATTAACAAATTTGCTTTCCAGAGAGTAGAATGTGTTGATCTCCTTATAAGCAAGGTATTTACTTCACTGTGTCTTCACTAGCATTGAATATTCATCTCAAAAAACTGTGAGATAATCTCAGAAAAAGATGATGACTAAAACATACACATGGCTGCTTCCACTTCTTACTGAGACCTCACTAAAATGGCAATAAAGGGAAGGGGAAAAAAAAGTCACAGAGATAGAGAAAACAAGAAAGGAATCAGTTATTTAAAAACAAAACAAAACAAAAACTTGAAACTAGAAAACAGATAAATGAGAAAACTGAATCTTAAGCCAGCCCTGGGACATTTGAGAACCAACCTGGTTTACACTGTAGAATCCCCCAAAGGTTCGGAGTTGGTGGTATCATGTATTCTGGGGGTAAAGATGGATAGGGTTAAAATAAGTCTAAGTTTAAATCTATATATAAATCTCCTCCTATGCTGGGCACCGGGAACTCTGGTGGTGTAGTGCCTTAGGCATTTGACTGCTAACCAGAAGACTGGCGGTTCAAACCCACCAGCCACTTCTTGGAAGGAAGATTCGGCGATCTTCTTCCATAACGCCACCACCTCAGAAACCCAAGGAGTGGTTGCTATGAGTCGGATCTGACTCGATGGCATTAAGTTTGGTTTTGGTTTTGATATGCCGGGCAAATCTGACTCTCCCTCACTCTAGCAAAAGACTGGAGATTTCTTTTTGAAGAGGTTAAACCAGTTTCTGGATTGAGGTCTTTCATGTATAGTTGAGGATGAAGTTACAGTGAAAATAGTAGGATTTATCACTGTATGCACAGTGCATAGTGGATGCTGACCTTCCCAGCCATCTCTCTCCACTTGAACCCCTGGTAGCTATTCCTTTTTCCTAAAGGCAAGAAATTAGCAGGGTTTTTTTCCTGGGGAATATGAGCAGCCTGAGAGGAGAGACCTAGAGTTTCCCAAACTAAGTGGTCCAGCTGGATCACCCTATAGTGAAGCTCATTGTTGATAAGCTTCTGTATATTCAGAGATTCCATCCACCTTTTTTTAGCTCTTACATATAAGCAGACAGCCACAGATTAACAGATAACTGAGGAAAAGCTATAAAATGAAAGAGAACCAAACAACTAGAAAAAAAGTCAACTTAGACAAACAGAGTAGGCAGGAGAAGTAAATTTCCAAAGAAAAGGAAAAGAAACCTCATTGATAACTTCATAGTAAGCATATATGGCCAACATGCAGTAAGAACAAGGCACTGTTAAAAAGGAGTATACTTAGAACAAAAAAAAGCTCTTGGAAATTAAAATTATGATAGCAAAAGTGAAAAAGGACTAGAAGATAAAGTTAAGAAATCTCCCAGAAAATAGAATAAAAAAGATAAAGGTGGAGAAAATGGGAGAACCTGTACAGGAAAAGGATATTGCTATTGCTATTTGGATAATGAGGAGCTCTGGTAGCATAGTGCCTACGGCACCTGACTGCTAACCAGAAGGCTGGCGGTTCAAACCCACCAGCCACTCCTCAGAAGGAAGGTTGGGCAATCTACTTTCGTAGTGATACTGCCTCGGCAACCCAAGGAGGGGTCACTATGAGGCAGGGCCGACTTGACGGCACATGACAACAACAGCAACATTCAGATAATGGGAATTCTGGGAAGAGAGAATTAGAGAAAACTGAGGGGAAGAAATCATTAATGAATTAGTTCAAGAAAATTTCCTAGAATTAAAGGACATAAATTTCCAGAATAGAAGAGCTCACCCTACTTGTGGATGAAAACAGATCCACACAAAGGAACATCTTGTGAATTTGCATATCAAACAATAAGACCAAAAAATCCTGTACGTTTCCTGAGAGAGAAAATAGGTTTAATTCAAAGCATTAGGAATCAGAATGGCTTTAGAGTTCATAGCAGCAAAACTTGAACTGGAAAGCTAGAGCCATGCTTTAAAAATGATTTTCAACTTAGAATTCTATGTCCAGTCAAATTATTAATCAAGCGTGAGAGTAGAAGAGACATTTAAAAAAAAAAGTTTTCCCCACTATTTCTCAGGAAGCTATTGGAAGATGCTAGAGCACAACAAAGAAATAAGAAAAAGGAAGACATGGGATCTAGGGAACAGGTTTGTCACAGGAGAGTGATGGTCCAGATTGGAACAGATTAGAAAGCTTCCTGAGAGACTGCTACATAAAGGTGAAAATTGATATGAGAGAGGATATGTGGATACATGTTAGAAAATTTGAGATTAAGCCATTAATACATACATATATAGAAAATGAAGAAAATTGAGAGGCTGTTTTCAGCATTGTCTAGGGGGAGAGTTATGGAGTAGTTTCTGACTCATAGTGACCCCATGTATGTCAGAGTAGAATTGTGCTCCATAGGGTTTTCAGTGGCTGATATTTTGGAAATAGATCCTTAGGCCTTTCTTCTGAGGCACCTGTAGGTGGATTGTAACCTCCAACCATTTGATTAATAGTCAAGTACATTGACTCTTTGTACCACCCAGGGATTCCTAACATAATACGTTATTTAGGTAATATGAAGGTAACTACTAAAATAATGAGAAGAGGTGAAAGTGATCGCCTTTGTTGGGGGGAATGGCAGGGAGGAGTCCATCCTACTGATTTTGTAATAAACCTTATAGAACTATTTGATTCTTGACATTGCATATATGACTGATTAGAATAAATAATTCATAAAAGAAGCATTGCCAGTTTAATGAGAAGTGGCATTTTTAATTTTTATAAGAACTACTAGGGAAGTTGAAATATTTTTGTATGTACACTTCCTACTTTTAACTCTCAAATCTTCCCATCATCTGTCAACACAAATCAAAAACTTGTGAGCAAAGACCATGGTCCTTTCAGTGTTGGAGAATCGGATTATTTTGTTGTCAGACTGTGTTCCTGAGCTTTTCCTTTGTCTCTAAGAACTTTACACTTAGATCAGTTTTATGCAAACTTTGAAAAACCTGTCTCACCAACCTTGGCCTTCTTCCTCAGGTTGTCCGCACAAACCAGTGTGCAGGAGAATTTGTCATCACCTTCCCTCGTGCTTACCACAGTGGCTTCAACCAAGGCTATAACTTTGCTGAGGCTGTCAACTTTTGCACTGCTGACTGGGTGAGTTTGGGGTGCAGTGGACTAGCAGGCAGAAACAGGAGTACTACGGAGAAGCTGAGGCATACTACAGACTTGGCCGTAGCCAACCTTGAACCCTGTCCACAGCTGCCTGCTGGGCGCCAGTGCATTGAGCACTATCGCCGGCTCCGAAGATACTGCGTCTTCTCCCATGAGGAGCTCATCTGCAAGATGGCTGCCTGCCCAGAGAAGCTAGATCTGAACCTGGCAGCAGCTGTTCATAAGGAGATGTTCATCATGGTGCAGGAAGAGCGGCGTCTACGAAAGGCCCTGCTGGAGAAGGTGTGTGGTAGGGAGAATACCCTGGGTCAGGTACCCTAACCTGATAGAGGTGTGAGGGGAGGAAAAAGCAGCACCAAGAAGTAGAAGATGTAGATTCTACTCTTTGCATGTAGTGAAAAGAATTAGATGCATTGGGATTGAAAATCACATCCCATTGTCTGCTCTGTCATTTACCAGCAACCTCAGGCAAGTTTGTTTACTTCACTGAGTGTCAGTTTCCCCATCTGAAAAATGGAGAATATAATAATGCTTATCTTTTTGGAAAGATCAGTAGATTAAAGATAATGTTTGTTAGGTAAGTGGCCCACAGTAGGTGCTTCTGTAGCTGCTGTTCATCATTATTTAAATAATCCAAGAAGATAGACTAGCATATGAAATCTCCACTGATGGAGATTTAGCTTACTTAACTACTCATTGTCTGCCTTTCTCACTTTGTAAAATGGGGAATAAATACCTAACTTGCAAGGTTATAAAGCTCAAGCAACGTGATTTATGTCAGAGCATCTATCACTGTATTTGTAGTGTAGCTTCTTGCTATTATTGTTGATGTTAATGCATGAAGAAAACTATTGAAATATGGAACATTTCTTAGGAAACACATTTATTACACTCAAATTGTTCAGTAACTCAAACCAAGGTTAATAATATTGCCAAGTAGGAGGAGGTCCTACTCTCATAGATTCTCATAAGCATATGTCACTTGTGTATATAGATAAGTGGGAGCTGCTACAGAGTTACACATAAGGCCTCTTAGGTCCTTTCAGCCTTCCTCTTAAAGCTCTGTGCTTACCCAATTAGGCTATTAGTTAGAATCCTCTATAAGATTACAAAGCAGTACTGCTCCTTGCTGCCTGTTTGGGTAATTCTTTAAAGCTCATTTGTAACTTTACTGTGAGCATGAGCTGTAAGAAGAATTAGGGCTACAGTAAGTGTTGCAAGCCTGGAGCCTCTCAGTCTATGGTGTTAGTTGGTGAGGCCCTGGGCTTTTCCAGGGATCATTTTCTCTCTCAAATGGATTAGCTCTCTAAGAGTCATTTAGCACTGTTGTTAATTGGTGACTCTGTTGCTCTTACTGGCTATGGGAAGGAGCCTGGAGTGAGGTGGAAGGAATAGACTTTCTTACCCAGACATTCAGAATTTTTTACACTTGGCCCTTCCTTATCTTAGAGGAGAGTTTGGAATCCCCCCTAGTATTGAAATTCTATAAAAGTGTGTGTGTATGTACGTGTGTACATGTACTTTTCTGGAGAGAGGGCTCATAGTTTGCATTCAGGTCACAGAGGAGTCAATGATCAAAAAAAACCTAGAATCTTCATCCTTAGAATATTGTTTGACTGTAGTCAAATTCTTACTTTGTGTAAGTTATTAATTCTGGTTTCCTCTTTATTAAAATGAGATAGGTCTATGAAATAGGTATCCTTATCTGAAAATTGGGAGCTCTGGTAGCTTAGTGCCTAAGGCACTTGACTGCTAGCCAGAAGGTTGGCAGTTCAAACCCACCAGCCACTACTCAGAAGGAAGATGGGGCAATCAACTTCTGTAGTGATATTGCCTCCTCAGCAACCCAAGGAGGGGTCGCTATGAAAATTAGAGTTAATAACAGCTAATATTTGTTGAGCAGTTATTCTAAGTGCTAAGATACTTTTCTGAGTCTTTAGTTGCTTTATCTTTGTTAATTAATCCTCATGACAGCCCAATGAGGGTGGTACTTAGTTACCTGCATTTTACAAGAAACTGAAACTGAGGAAGGTTTAAGTCATTTACTAAAGATTACACAGCTAATGAATGGTGGAGCTGGATTTTTAAAGTACAGTGAACTCTTCTTCATACCTTATGCAGATTTTTTATTTTTAAATTATGTATTTATTTTTGTTGTTGAGAATATACACAGCAAAACATACACCAATTTAATACTTTCAATATGTACGATTCAATGACATTTATTATATTCTTTATGTACCCATTCTCACCTTCTTTTTCTGAGTTGATCTCCCACCATTAACATAAACTCACTGGCCCCTAAGGTCCCTATCTAATTTTTGAGTTACTGCTGTCATTTGATGCCATATACAAAAACAAAAAACAAACCCTGTTATCAAGTCAGTTCCAACTCATAGCAGGCCTATAGGACAGAGTAGAATTGCCCCATAGTGTTTCCAAGGCTGTAAATCTTTATGAAAGCAGACTGCCTCATCTTTCTCCTGTGGAGCAACTGGTGGGTTCAAACTACTGACCTTTTGGTTAGTAGCCAGCTGCCTTAACCACCACTACACCACCAGAGCTCCTTTGATGCTATATAGCTAGGCCTTACAAAAAAAAAATTTTATATATATATATAAATAAAACTCAAGGCACAGGCATTATTTACTAGTTAAGCTAAACTATTTGATTTTAAGAAGACTTCAGGGGATATTTTTTGTTTAAAGTTGATCAGGATTCTTTGTTCAAAATGTTCACTAATGGTAGCCAGGCACCATCCAGTTCTGGTCTCATAGCAAAGGAGGCAGTTTTTTTAAGGAGCTCTGGTAGCATAGTGGCTAAAGCACTTGACTGCTAACCAGAAGGCTGGTGGTTCAAACCCACCAGCCACTCCTCGGAAGGAAGGTTGGGCAATCCTACTTCCGTAGCGATACTGCCTTGGAAACCCAAGGAGGGGTCGCTATGAGTTGGGGCCGACTCGACGGCACATAACAACAACAACAACATTAACCAATATTCTGTTTCCTTCTCCTCTTCCTGATGCTCTTCTTTCCTCTGTTATTTTAGGCAAATAGAGACCAATTGTGTCTTGAATGACTGCTTACAAACTTTTAAGACCCCAGGTGCTATGAAACAAACTAGGAGGTAGAACAGAAGCACTAAACATGTTATTAGGCCAGTTAACTGGGATTTCTCATGAAACCATGACCCTAAACCTCCAAACCAAGGAACCAAATCCCATGAGGTGTTTGGATGTACATAAGCAGCCTCAGCAGATACTCTTTTTTGTTGTAAATATATCTATCATGCAACTTTTGCCAGTTCAACTTTTTACAGGTGTACAACTTATTAACAGCAGTTACAGTAATCAGCTGTGCAGCCCTACCCTTAATCAGTGTGATTTTTCCATCACCATAAACCAAAACTCAGTATTCCATAAGCAGTAACACCCTTTCTCCTCATTTTTCCCGCCCCAGACCACTAATAAACTTTGGTCTCTATACACTTCCCTGTTCTTGTCTTTTGGTATATATGAGGTTGCAAGGAATAGGTTTTAAACAAGTCAGTGTATAAGACCAAAATTGTTGTAGTCAAAATTTGTTTTTAAAATCCCTAAAATTGCCTGTAATGTGTAGCATTATATTGTCTCTCAATTACTTTGGCACAGCCACCTTTGCCTTCATTTTTGGAAGAGATTCTTTTTTTATTTCTTTTCATCTGAGCAACAGATGACACCATTGGCTTATTTGTTCAGTGTTGTTAGAAAAAGTTACTATCTTTAAAGACTAAATGGTAGCATATACAGTTGAATTTTTATGTTAGATATATGCATGCAGTGTCTCTTGTCTACCAAGAAACCAGTACAGCAACTGGAACAAAATGGCACTGAGTAACTAGAAGCTAACATTGTTCCCAGGTATGTGCCCTCCATACTAGCCAGGCCTGTCTCTTGGTCACTGCTACACATTTCTGACTCTCCATGCCTCAGTCTACCATTTTCCTTACTTTTTCTTATCTTGAAGGTCATTTTTTTTTTTTAATCTGAATCTTACTTCATTTTTCTTCCTCTATAAAATTTTCTTTGCCTCAACACACACTGATCTTGCCTTTCTTCATCTGATCCCCACCCCCCCACCCCCAGCCCCAGCTTTGAGAGTCTGGAATTTACAGGCAGAGGCAGGTGTGCTCCTTTGGTCTCCACTGTGGCCATCAGCACAAGTTGTAGTCTGAAGTGGAGCTCAGTGGTGGCTGAGATGGGGGTTTCCGTGAACTATTTTACTCCTGTATAATGTGTATGGGTTGAACACCCCCAGGGCATCACGGAGGCTGAACGAGAAGCCTTTGAGTTGCTCCCAGATGATGAGCGCCAGTGCATCAAGTGCAAGACCACTTGTTTCTTATCAGCCCTGGCCTGCTATGACTGCCCAGATGGCCTTGTCTGCCTTTCCCACATCAATGACCTCTGCAAGTGCTCTAGTAGCCGGCAGTACCTGCGGTGAGCATGGGGCCTACCTAGAGGAAATGGGGCAAGGAGGAGGATGCAGAATTGGGCCAGATGTGCTCTTCCTTCCCCTCTTCCTCCAGGTATCGGTACACCTTGGATGAGCTTCCTGCCATGTTGCATAAGCTGAAGGTTCGAGCTGAGTCCTTTGACACCTGGGCCAACAAAGTGCGAGTGGCCCTGGAAGTGGAGGATGGGCGAAAGCGCAGTGAGTGATGGGGGGACTGAGGGACTCCACAGGCAAGTTCTATTCCCTTTTCTTCTGTTCTCCCAGTCCCCCTTCATGTCTTTCCACAATACTGCCTACTCCTTGCTGCTCTCATTGTCTCTCTAGGCCTTGAAGAGCTGAGAGCACTTGAGTCTGAGGCCCGTGAGCGGAGATTTCCTAATAGTGAGCTACTACAGCGATTGAAGAACTGCCTGAGTGAAGCAGAGGCTTGCGTGTCCCGGGCTCTGGGATTGGTCAGCGGCCAGGAAGCTGGGTATGGCAGTGTGAGGTTATTAGGGCAGAGATAGCCTGCCAAGGATTCAGCATCTATGAAAAGTACTACAAGAGGTACTACCTCTGAGCACCATTAGGCAGACTGGACATCAGCAGGAAGCTGACAAGCACTGGAGTGTGAGATACTCTCAGAGATATCAGGAAAGGCAAGAAGACCAGGTTGTGTAAAATGGAGAAGGGAGTTTCAGTGATAAGGTACCTAGGGATGTTTATTTTTGTCAGTACCTAGAAGAGATTTGTGGTAGCGTAGTATCTAAGGCACTTGACTGCTAACCAGAAGGCTGGCGGTTCAAACCCACGAGCCACTCCTCGGAAAGAAGGTTGGGCAATCTACTTCCGTAGTGATAACGCCTCGGAAACCCAAGGAGGGGTCGCTATGAGTCAGGTTTGACTCCATGGCACATAACAACAACAACAAGAGATTTGTGGGACAGGCTGAGGAATTTTGTGGGCAAGTTGGAGTTGTGCAAGGTTTAGGGACAGAGAATCATAAACACAGATGTAGAATTCTCAGTGGAGGATGGATTGAAAAGTCAAGCTTGTTAATCATCAATTAATTTCTAAGGCCCCCCTCCCAAATATATTCTCTTCTGGTTCTTTTCCTTCATTGTATGAACATGCTCATATCTTAAACTCTCCGTCTAATCTGGGCATCTGAGAGAACTCTGAGATATGAGAGGTCAAGATGAACATGTATGGTGAAGAAACTTGTTGGGTCTTAGCAGAAGAGATGGGGGAGGGGACTGAGTTTGGAACTGAAACCCCACATGTGAAACTCCATAGCCCCTACAGGGTGGCTGGTCTACAGATGACCCTGGCTGAGCTCCGGGCCTTTCTGGACCAGATGAGCAACCTGCCTTGTGCCATGCACCAGATTGGGAATGTCAAGGTGAGGAGGGGCTGGTTTGGAGTGCTGCTGAGGGATCAGGGGGACAAGGGTGATATTATCAGCAGGGCTCTCTTGGCTCCTTTAAATAGCTTAAAGTGTTTGGCCAAGACAGAATGCACATGTGAAAAAATACTAAAAGTTGTGAGGCATAACATCTAGTAACTGCATCTTAGAAATGAGATCTGAGAGGCAGGTGGCAAGGTTATGAATGCAAGATGCAGAGGCAAGGGAATGTTTGCTGGAGGAGAAGCAGCAGTTGACAAGAGTGTTTGTGGGGCTTAGAAATAGACTAAGTCCATGAAGGTAGAGAAGTGGAATAAAGAGGACATGGACATCAGTGTGAGCATAAGCGTTTGTGAGAAGACTGGTATAGCATTTTTTAGGGCAGAGGCTCAATTGGTACTTTATGTCAGAATCTTCTGGGGAGTTAAATAAAACACAAATTACCAACCAACCCCCAGTAAGAATCTCTAGAAGTGGAACCAGGTAATCTGCATTTTTCAACATACTCATTAGGGTGCCCTTAATGGGCAGTCACTTTTAGTTTCTAAAATGCCACTCTTAGGCATGGAGAGGGAAAGGGAGAGGCCAGCCCAAGGTAGGCTTTCTTTTCCCAAAAGACTGGCGGGTAAGAAGGTACATGAGGCAAGGCTGTGTCTGGTGGAAGGACCTCTAAATGAGCCCAGCTGAGGTGTTCTTCATCCTGTATCTTGGTAGGGTATTCTGGAACAGGTGGAAGCATACCAGACTGAAGCCCGTGAGGCCCTGGCCTCACTGCCCTCCAGTCCAGGGATACTGCAGTCCCTGTTGGAGAGGGGGCAACGGCTAGGGGTGGAGGTACCTGAGGCCCAGCAGCTCCAGCGGCAGGTAGAGCAAGCACGATGGCTGGATGAGGTGAAACGCACGCTGGCCCCCTCAGCCCAGAGGGGCACCCTGGCTGTTATGCGGGGACTGTTGGTTGCGGGCGCCAGTGTAGCCCCTAGCCCTGCTGTGGATAAGGCCCGGGCTGAGTTGCAGGAGCTGCTGACCATTGCTGAACGCTGGGAGGAGAAGGCCCATCTCTGCCTGGAGGCCAGGTACGTTGAGCCTTTTCCTGTCCCAGCCCTACTTCAACCTGCAATGTATAGTAGAAAACCTGGAGGTAATTTCCATGGGTGACCTTGGGCACCAGACTCTTGCATCGATGTATTAACTTCCCCGTCTATTTCCCTATCTTTTTTTTTTTTTCTTTTTTAAAGGAAAAAAAAGCACTCTGTACACAAAGAGGCAGAAATAGAGTGGTAGAGATACAGAGATGGAGAGATTTATAGAGGACTGGCCCTACTGGCTGACATGTGCACATGCACACAGGCACACATGTTGTTGTTATGTGCCGTTGAGTCGGACCCACACACATAGGCAGAAGGATAGATCTTGATAGAAAGACACCACACACGGGGCAGTCTGACAGAGCAACAGATTAATACCATAGGCTGTGTGCATAGCAGGCTGACAGACTTACCAGGTAGACAAGCAGAGGTGCAGGAGTTACAGCAGAAGGATCAAGTTGGGTGCATGCAGTCTGGGACAGGGACTGGCAACCACCCATAGGCAAGATATAAGCAAGTAAGTCCAAATGACATGAGGAATAACAGGCACCCCAGGAGCCCATGCAGATAAATCTGATGGCCAGGTTGGGCTTCTGGTTAGGCAGACCACCCTAGACTGAGTCCTCTTTTTTTTTTTTTACGTTTAGGCAGAAGCATCCACCAGCCACGCTGGAGGCCATAATCCGCGAGGCAGAAAACATCCCTGTTCACCTGCCCAACATTCAGGCTCTCAAGGAGGCTCTTGCTAAGGCCCGGGCCTGGATTGCTGATGTGGATGAGATCCAAGTGAGGACCCTGTCCTCCCCTGACACCCACCCTCTAGGCCTTCAGTCCAGCTGGGAAGAGATGACACATGTATTGGGTTGTACTGGGTTAGGTTGGCTAGAGAGAGGAAAGGAGCATGGCACACAGAAAAGAAGCACAAGTGTGCCTGGTGAACAATGTGAAGAGGGATTGGGAAGCTGGCCTGAGCAAAGAGAGGATGCTGGTGAGGATGAGAACAGTGGAGGCAGATGATGTGGGAATGGAGCCAGGCAGGGGTGCTTTTGGCATGGAGGAGGGTAGAAGAGGCAAACCATAATAGAATAACCTGGTGTTGTAGAGACTGGATATTTTGAAGCTGAGCCAATGAATGTAGGAGTTTAGGAAGAGAGACAGGTGGGTGTTCCTTCCTTGGGATGATCCTTGATTTCTCTGCCTCAAAACTGAATCCAGCTAACTTCCCAGTGATGCCCAGTTCAGGGCCAGGCACAGAGTAAGCATTAGTAGATGTTGGCAGGTTGAACTGAGCTTTCTCTTGCCTCTGTCCCCAGAATGGTGACCACTACCCCTGTTTGGATGACTTGGAAGGCCTGGTGGCTGTAGGCCGGGACCTACCTGTGGGACTGGAGGAGCTGAGACAGCTAGAGCTGCAGGTACTGACAGCGCACTCATGGAGGGAGAAGGCCTCCAAGACCTTCCTCAAGAAGAATTCTTGCTACACACTGCTGGAGGTGAGGCCTGGGACCCTGACCCACAGCCTCACCTGCCCCTGCCCTGGCTGTTGTGAAAAGATTCATAGTAGAACAGTTTTTGGGGGGGACTGGGGAGGGGAGGAAGGAGTTCTGGTAGCATAGTAGGTTAGGCATTTGGCTGCTAACCAGAAGGTCGGTGGTTAAAACCCACCAGCTGCTCTGCAGGAAGATGATGGGGCGATCTACTTCCGTAAAGATTTACAGCCTTGGAAACCCAGTGGGGGTCGCTGTGAGTTGGAATCAACTCAATGGCAGTGGGTTTGTTTGGTTTGGGGAGGGGAGGAGAGGGTGTAGAGGTTAGGGGAAGCTTGTCATTCCCCCTCTGTCTACTTGCTTCAGGTGCTCTGCCCGTGTGCAGACGCTGGCTCAGACAGCGTCAAACGCAGCCGGTGGATGGAGAAGGAGCTGGGATTGTACAAATCTGACACAGAGCTGCTGGGGCTATCTGCACAGGATCTCAGGGATCCAGGCTCTGTGGTAAGGAACTTGGGCGTAGATAGAGAGAAGTTGGATTCTGGGTATCTCCCTGCAATGACTGATGCCTGGTGGTGATAGAGTTTCTGAGCTGAGTGACCATAGGTGACCACTTGCTTCCTGAGCCTCAGTTTTCCTGGTTTGGGAGTAAGTTAAGGGGATGAGAGAAGGGAAGGGACTGGGTGGCTAACCTGCTTTCCCCCTGCCCTGGGCACGGCAGATCGTGGCCTTCAAGGAGGGGGAACAGAAGGAGAAGGAGGGTATCCTGCAGCTGCGTCGCACCAACTCAGCCAAGCCCAATCCACTGTCATCGCTGACCACAGCTTCCTCTGCAACCTCCATCTGTGTGTGTGGGCAGGTGCCAGCTGGGGTGGGAGCTCTGCAGTGTGACCTGTGTCAGGACTGGTTCCATGGGCGATGTGTGTCGGTGCCCCGCCTTCTAAACTCCCCCAGGTCCAGTCCCATCTCATCCCCACTGCTGGCTTGGTGGGAGTGGGACACCAAATTCCTGTGTCCACTGTGTATGCGCTCACGGCGCCCACGCCTGGAGACCATCCTGGCACTGCTAGTAGCCCTGCAGAGACTGCCTGTGCGGCTGCCCGAGGGTGAGGCCCTGCAGTGCCTCACAGAGAGGGCCATCAGCTGGCAAGGCCGTGCCAGACAGGCTCTGGCCTCTGAGGATGTGACTGCCCTGTTGAGACGGCTGGCTGAGCTTCATCAGTGGGTGCAGGCTGAACCTAGGCCGGAGGAGCCCCCTACCTACCCTTCAGTCCCTGCCTCTGACCCTCTCAGAGAGGGCGGTGGCAAGGATATGCCTAAGGTGAGCTGCCTGCCCAGCACTTGGCCTCAGATTCCTGTCTCCTAGCCCCTACCCCTATTTAGGCTCTAGCCCTGTCCCTGTCCTTCAATTTTCAGTCTCCTTTGACCCTGCCTCCCTGCCATTCTGCATCTGAACCCAGGCCGGAGGAGCCCCCTATCTGCCCTTCAGTCCCTGCCTCTGACCCTCTCAGAGAGGGCAGTGGCAAGGATATGCCTAAGGTGAGCTGCCAGCCCAGCACTTGTCCTCAGATTCCTGTCTCCTAGCCCCTACCCCTATTTAGGCTCCAGCCCTGTCCTCCAATTTTCAGTCTCCTTTGACCCTGCCTCTCCCTGCCATTTTGTATATCCTGTCTACATCTCTAGATGATGCTCCTTGCCGGGAGCCTGTGTCTGCCCTCCTTCAGGAGGTAGAAGGTCCCAAGTTTAGGGTTGGGGGAGGAAGAATAAGGCCTGGTTCTTTGGTTCAGTTGGGAGGATCCCTGGTGGCACAGTGATTAAGTGATCGTCTGTTAGTCAAAAGGTCGGGCAGTTTGAACCTACCAGTTACTCCACTGGACAAAGATGTGGCAGTCTGTTTCCATAGAGATCACAGCCTTGGAAACCCTGTAGGACAGTTTTACTCTGTCTCACAGGGTTGTTTTGAGTTGGATTCAACTTGACAAGAGTGGGTTGGGTTTTCAGTTTAGTTATTCCTACCCATTCTTCATCTTGTTGCCAGGTCCAGGGGTTGCTGGAGAATGGAGACAGTGTTACCAGTCCTGAGAAGGTAGCCCCAGGGGAGAGCTCAGGTAAGAGAGGTAGGTCTAGGTGTGGTTATGTTGTTGAGTGGATGTCACCAGAATGACCCATGTGGTCCTCTGCTCTGTTGTGGTTGGGGTCAGACCATCCTCTAACCTAACCTGTCCCCACAACCCTCCAGACTTGGAGCTGCTATCCTCACTGTTGCCACAGTTGACTGGCCCCATGTTGGAGCTGCCTGAGGCAACTCGGGCCCCCCTGGAGGAGCTCATGATGGAGGGAGACCTGCTTGAGGTGACCCTGGATGAGAACCACAGCATCTGGCAGCTGCTACAGGCTGGGAAGCCTCCAGACTTGGAGCGGATCCGCACTCTTCTGGAGGTGAGGGAAAGGGTTATGGTAGGGCCAGGGGGTCAGGCCAACTGGCAATAAGCCCAGGCCTGACCAATGGTCCACAATCCCTTTCTGCTTATCTCTGATCACAGCTGGAGAAGGCAGAGCACCATGGGAGTCGGGCACGTGGCCGAGCCCTGGAGAAGCGGCGGCGGCGGAAGGTGGATCGGGTTGGGGAGGGCGATGACCCAGCCCGAGAGGAGCTAGAGCCAAAGAGGGTACGGAGCTCAGGGCCAGAGGCTGAGGAGGCCCAGGAGGAAGAAGAGCTGGAGGAGGAAACTGGGGGTGAGGGTCCTACCCCTCTACTCCCCACCGCTGGCAGCCCCATCCCCCAGGAGAACCAGAATGGCTTAGAGCCGGGCCTAGCGGCCAGCTCAGGCCTCTCTGCCCCTTACTCCACGCTGACTCCCCGGCTGCATATGCCCTGCCCACAGCAGCCACCTCAGCAAGAGTTGTGACAGTGGCTGAGCCTAGCACAGACCCCAACAGACCAGACCCCCTTGGCCTCAAGGATCCTCTTTCTGACCATCAAGCCTGCTTCTTGGGAGGTGGGCGGTGGGGGCGGAGGGTGGCTACTCCCCCAGCCCACCACTGAAGTCCCTTGACTTTTGTATTCTGACTCCAAGGTATTGTTCAGACCTCAGCTCCTGGGGGCCGGCCCCTGGAGTCCCCCTCCCTGGTAGCCTCTAACCAGCATTCCCAGACACCTGAGGCAGATCGATGGATGGGCAGGATGGGTGGCTGGGGCTGTGCCAGCACCATTCCAGAAACAGGGCCTATGCAAACTGAGGAATGTCCTCTCCCCAGTTTTGGCCCTGGCCAAGCTATGTTACACTAACCTCACCTTCCCTCTCTCTCTTCCCTTCCTCTTCTCCTTGCTTCCCCTGACTGTTCTACCCAGGAGGAGGAAATTTCACATAGATGTGCTCACAGTTTTTTTTTTATTTTAAATAAATTTGGTTGGGGAGTTGAACAGGAACAGAGCTCCCTGTAATCTGAAGAAAGCTTTTGGTGCTTGTTCTCACAACCACTTCGACCCTCCCTCCCTGTCTTCCCCCGTCTGTGTTCCTCCTCCTGGGTTCATGTTGTAATAAAAGAAGATTGTTGGTGTGTAATTAATTTGTTCAAAAGAGAAAAAGCAAAACAAGAAACTTGGTTCCAACTAAAGCCTATGTTAATTTTATTTTATTATTTTCTTCTTGTTAGAAATAAACCCTTAGCAACATTTTTTGGAAACATGTTTCTGAAGTGCATTTCTCTTAGAAGGGGGAGAACAGTGACTCCATCACCTGTCAGTAGAACAGCTATAGTGCTGGCAGGGGCACTAAGGCTGAAGCCAGGGTGCTCTGGGATCTGAACTGAATTCTACCAGGTTCTCTTTAACTTTGCACCCTAACATTCCACCCCTACGCCAGTTTTCCCCATCGCCCAACAGATGGGTGTTGAAACCTCTCACCTAAACTCCTGCAACAGTCCAACTTTATGCCCTCTAGTTTATCCTCCTCTGGGTGTCAGAGGGATTTTTTTTCCACAGCTTTAATTGAGGTATAATTTATATAGCATAAAACTCACTTGTTTTAAATGTACAATTCAGTGGAATGTTTCTAAAGTGTGGCTCTGATCATGTTTTCTGTCTAAAATGTTCTGAGCTGCTTCACTGTCCTTGATAGATATATCAAGATATATATAGTTATATAAAATCTCCATAGGAATGCTTTAGTGTCTAACCCATGTGCCACATTCAGGGAGCCTTCCCTGAATTTTTTCTCTACCCTAAAAATTCTTTCTGCCCCTGCTGAATGGGGACCAAAATCATTTGTAATGTTCATGCTTAACTTTTTCATAAAGGCAGCTTTATTGAGAGAAAATTCACATACCATACAATTGAGTGTACAATGCAAAGGCTTTTAGTATATTCAAGACTTACACAACCATCACTTTAATTTTAGAATATTTTCGTTACCCTAAAAAGAAATTGTACCCCTTAGGCGTTGCACCCCAAGCTTCCCAGCCCTAGGGAACCACTATATACTTTGTATGGATTTGCCTGTTCTGGACATTCCCTATAAGTAGAATCATAATGTTGGTTCTTTGTGACAGGCTTCTTTGACTAAGCATAATTTCAGGTTCTGAATTCACTTCAAAGTGAATATATTAATGGTCCCATAGTAGTTGGACAGATTATTCCCTTTCTAGACCCCCAAAGTCTTTAACATGAGGATGTTGGACTGTATCAGGGACCATCTCCTGAAATTGTTTACATATTTTCATGGAAGTTTGCATGGATATCTCTTAATGGCAGGAAGGGTAACCAGCTTGTATCAGATTCATAAAGGGATCCTTGACCTTTCTGGTCCTGAGTGTTTTGTTCAGAGTCAGCCCATGATGGAAGGATACAGAGGAGGAAGCGGGAGCATTGAAACCCTGCTAAGCCAGTCAGCTTTCCATCATGCCCAGCTCTTTGAAGTTTCTCCTTAAAGGGACTGCATGGAGAAGTTAAAGGCCAAACTGATCTCTTGCCCTTGGGCTCAACACACTCTGAATTTTCAGTGGGATCATTTTACTCCACTTCCTGCCCCCTTCCCAAGGTTTCCAGCTGATAAAAACTGTAGTGATGGATGAGAAAGCTCACCCTCTTCTGGCAGCTCTGATTGGTGGGAGGTCTGGATCAGCTTTGTTGCTTCATCCAGTCTTCCAGTTGGGGGTCACTGGACTCCAGGCCACAGACCAAGGGAAAAGCTTGACCTTTTTGTCTGCTTACCCATCTGGAATTGATCATGAAAAGAGGATTGGAGAAGACATCAGAAGAGTCTGGGGCCTGAGAGCTGGGGCAGAAGCAGGAAAGTGCTCAGCCTCAGCACTTCACTAATGTTCCCTACTCCAATGCAGTTAAGCCACCAGAACTGGCCAGAGTGGAAAGGGAGAGATGGTGCCCACAGTGTTCAGGCTAGAGAACTGCTATGCTTGAGGTAGGGGTCCTCCAAGGTATGGGCCCACCAGTTCCCAGACAGCCTTTCCCATTTAGATACCTTCCTGCCTCATCACATTCACACTTTGCCCCCTTCACAACAGACATGGCATCCCATGAGCTTCGTTCAAAAGGTCCTAGCCCTCGTCCTGCAAGACCCAAATCGGTCTCACTTCTTCCTGAGTTTTGTTTAGTTTCAAATCTGTTTACCTTCAGTGCCTAAGGCACTTGACCGCTAACCAGAAGGCTGGCGGTTCAAATCCACCAGCCACTCCTTGGAAGGAAGGTTGGGCAATCTACTTCCGTAGTGATACTGCCTCGGCAACCCAAGGAGGGGTCGCTATGAGTCGGGTCTGACTCCACGGCACATAACAACAACAACATGTAAACCAAAAACCAAATTCACTGCAGAGTTGGATCTGACTCAACGACCTGTCCTTGGGTCAGACGTAGATTGCCCAGCCTTTCTTCCGAGGAGTGGCTGGTGGATTTGAACCACCAGCCTTCTAGTTTCTAGTTGGCAGTCAGATGCTTTAGGCACTGTGCCACCAGAGTTCCCCTTCCCTGTGTACTCCCCTAGAAAGGGAGAAGTGATTGGCTCAGCGGTGTCCCAGGTGTAGGGGTAGGGAGAATGAGGCTTGGGGAAGCAGAGTATTTTCTTTTTCCACTTCAAAGTCATTTTCTACTGTAGAGCTACTGCTTTGTTACTGCATTCTCCCAGAGGTTACCACACCCCTCAGCGTGTCTCCTGGGTGCACAGCTTACAAATACAAGGAGAGGCATCACTTCTAAGGACTTTTCCCCACCCCCCTTCCTCAGGCCCTATTGACCTCTTCCCCCTCCCTAGAGCCTCCACTGTGCTTTGCATGGTGTCCGAAACACTCTGTTAATGGGTCTGTCTCTCCCACCCTCAAGCTCCCCGTTCTGGGAGCTACTGGAGGGGTGGCCCAGGCCTGTGTCTTCTCTGTCCACACTTGCAGGCCAGGGTCCTGCACAATCTGAGCTTAGAAGGGAGACTGGGGGAGCAGTCGGGGTCCTACCCTGCATGTGAACTCTTACTTTGCATTTCATAAAGCTCATTGGTGCAGGTTATCACCCCATGGGGTAGGGTCAGGTTCACAGTCCATGGCGGCCTGAAACGGAAGACTAACCAACGCTGAAATTGTGATGGGAGAAGAGAGGTTGGGAGGCAGAGGGGTTTTCTGCCCCTGGGGTAGTCACATTCCATGGAAGAGCACCCCCTTGTGTGAGAGCTTTCACAAAGTCTCTTTGAAACATACCCCTCTAACAGACCTGGTCCAGCTTATCAGCCTGGGCAGAACTGGGATTTCCACTAAGTCTATGTGAACTTAAGGTCTGTGTTGCCCTTTCAAACAGAGAAAAGAAATAGGAACACAAGGGCAGCTTCGACTTGGAAGAAGGATGGGTAAGAGAAGCAAGTACATACCAGAATAAGTGTTTTATTCCCGTGAAGACAAATCACTGCTCTCTGTGTGATAGAAGAGCTCCAAAGTAATCAGCTTGCCACCAGGAAATAGTTGCATAGTGGGGTCTCAGTGTGGATTCTGATTGTTGGCAAGTTGAGAACTCAGAAGTGGCTATAGCACGTTGGCCTTGGTAGGCAGAAGTCCAGATTGGTGAGCTTATGCATAATCTCCATGCCTGCCTGTATTAGTTACGTATTGCTGCATAACAAAGTACCCAAAACATAACCCCACAATATTTATATTACAGTTTCTGTGTGTCAGGGAATACAAACAGTTTAGCTGGGTCTTCTACTTCAGGGTCTCACAGGCTGCAGGTGTCAGGTGGGGCTGCAGTTACCTCTAGGCTTGACTGGGGAGGGATCTCCTTCGAAGTTTACTCACAATTGTTGCCAAGATTCAGTTCTTTGCATGTTGTTGGGCTGAGGATCTCAGTTTCTTGCTGGCTGTTGGCAAGAGGCTACCCTCAGGTTTCTTGCCATGTGAGCCTTTCCATAGGGCAGCTCACATGGCACTGGCTTCATCAGAGCAATCAAGTGAGATGAGCCAGAAAGAGAAAGAATGCACAAGAAGGAAGTCACAGTCTATAACCTAATATGAAAAGTGAACTCCTATCACTTTTGCCATATTCTATATATTAAAATAAGTCCCTAGGTCCAAGGCTGTTTTCAAAGGGAGGCGATTACACGAGGGTGTGAATACTAGGAAACAAATCATTGGGAGTCATCTTGGAGTCCACTAAAGTTTGTCCTGTGGCCTCCAAAGATTCACCCCCTTCCACATACAAAATGCATCACCCCTTCCCAAGGTCTCTAAAAGTCTCATCCCATTACAGCATCAACTCAAACTCCATAATCTCATCATCTACATCAAGAACAGGTATGAATGAGGCTTCTTGAGTGTACTCCTTAAGTATGTCTCCTTGAGTACTATTTTTCTCCCTCTGTAGATTTGTGAACCTGAAGAGAGAAGTTATCTGTCCCCAACACACAGTGAATAGTGGGATGGGCATAGGATAACTGCTACAGATATTCCAGTTCAAAAAGGGGTAAAATTGGAGACACAAAGTAGTCACAGGTCCATAGCAATTCTGAAATTCAGCTGAGCAAATGAAAGTTCCTTAATTAAGTTTCAAGGCCTGGCAATAATTCTCCATGATTTTGGCTCACTCTGGGTTCTCAGTTCCACCCTCTATGCTTATTTCCTTTTTCATGAAAGGCAACTCATGTTTGCAGCTTAGTTTTCTGTCTGCTACCTGACAGCAGAATTTAGGGTGTAATCCCAGGTGGCACAATGAGTAAATGCTCAGCTGCATTGCGGTTCAAACCCACCAGCAGCTCCTCGAGAGAAAGATGTGTAGTCTGTTTTCACAAAGAGACTACAGCCTTGGAAACCCTATGGGACAGTTCTACTCTATCCTAAAGGGTCTTATGAAGTTGATTTGACAGCAATGGATTAATAGCCTCTTTTCATTTTGTACTCTCTAATCAGTTGCCACCAATAAATAATTCCATATAAGGACTTGGTGGTGGTCTCTGCTGTTGGCAGGTGGGGCACTCAATGGTGGCTATTCTCAGATTAGCCTTGGTGGCAGTTCTATATTGTTGAGCTCACGTCACTGTGGCCATTTTGTTCAGAAGTCTTTTGGGAAAAGAAAAGATAGGCAGGGATAGAG